CTTCTGCTCAGCTATTACTCTCAGTGTGTTAGAGATGTTGCTTTGCTGCCTGCCGGCTGCAGCAAGCAGCTTCTTATGGTAATCTGCTCTTGGTCAATATACACCAGCTTTCTGAATGGTTTTGATGGCTTTATTTCTGCTTTGAAGTGACACAAACTACTGGCAAATAAGGAAAGAAAAATGTAGGTCCTGAATCACCTAAGGCAAAACATGCCAGGTTCATAAGCTACATAGGGCATCAGTGTAACACACTGGGATCTCAGCAGAGCACCTGTACACCTGAATGACAGCTGCATGTAGGACCATAATCTGGAGTATGCTTTGCCGTGATTGCTAGCTGCACCATCTCTGCAGAAAGTCAGAGATGATGAGGCAGCATAGGTAAAAGCCCACTGAAAACTCAGAGGCTTTGTATGCCACTGTGAAAATAGCAGAGCACCAGAGAAGTTTTTTAAGCAGAAGGACAAGGTTTTTCTTTCAGGCTTACATGCATGCAGCTGTGTTTTTGAGCCAATTTTTTGCCATCTAGAGGTGGTTACTTAAAGCCTGCATAATCCAAGCTGGAGGGGATGGAGATTTACCAATACCTAGGCCAGGCAAACTCCCACCCCTGAAGGCTTTACGGCCTGATCCAGACAGGAACAAACAATTAAGAATTTGATTTCAAAGCAGGAAGTAGACTCAGCAGTGGGGAGTGCTAAGCAGATAAAAAAACCAATGTGATTTTTATAAGGGATTCCGAGGAGATGAAGTAGATTAGACTGCTTCTCCTGGGCACTAAATATTTGAAATGTGTTGGAAATTAGAAAAAGCACATAAACATATACTATGAAATATCAGCTGATACAGTGCTTGGCAGCTTCCAGCAGAGACTATGTAGCAGTTAACCTTAAAGACTGTGATCATTTAGTGCTTTCCTTCTTTAGTAAACTACATTTTGCAGAGACCTATATACATTCCATCATCAGTTACAAATCATCTTCTAAATATCAGAGGCCAGTCTAAAAGCACCTCAGCAAGCTAATTATCTACAGCTACTGGATAGCTGCGATTTCTTCTTTTTTACCCTCTTTTAGAGGATTACAACAGAGAATGGTACATCCCAATTATGCTTATGGACCTTCTGGATAATAAAAGACCAAAATTAGGTATCTAAGACAAAGCCCAAAATCCCTTCCTTACACATTCTCTTAGTGGCTGAGAAAATCAGAGTGGCAGAGACAGAAGCAGGGAATTGGCTATCCTATGATTTTCACTAACAATTTCCCAAGCTAATGAACTACTTCTGTTTTAAAATACTCAATTATAAGAACTTCTCATTTTGCTGGTATGAATCTGAAGCAATGTCACATCAACGGTATGGGGTCCGAAGGCAGAATCTCTCCTTACTTATGGGTAAGTACACTGGAACAAATGAGTTAATATTAACTAATTGGCAACAGAAAGATGGTTCTCTTCCAAATAACTCCAAACAAAGAGTGATAAAAATCAACAAGATTTAATACCATCCACAACTTCAATTATGTTCTAATGCTCCAAAAATAAGTGAAAAGCATTTACATATCAACCCCCATAAATATTTACAGTTATGACTGAAGCAGGCTTGACTCTTCACATCACCCCATTAAATCAACAGCACAGAACAGGCTGGTACACTATAAACAGTATAAAACCAGGCTGAAGTCAAAAAAAAAAAGCAAACTAAACATGAATCCCAGCCCAGAGTCTACTAGCCTGTAGCCTAGGGTTACATTAATTTTGAACCCCACTGAGGTCTGTGCTTTCCCAGTCTCCTGTATTTGTGCTCACAAGGCACAACTCAGCATTCAACTCTACGTACCAAGTTTTCTGCTTCAATGTCCCTGGGAAAAGAAGTGGTTCTCATAGCCATGCTGCTCTGCTGATCCTAGACCTTGCCTTCAGCAACAGAAGGCAGAAGAGTTCATGACAAAGATCCAACTGTCTGAAGACTTCTGCTTGGACTTGTAAAACCAGCCAATTATTCAGGCATCCCAAAATACCCATCTATGCTAATACTGCTTTCATACTTCCAATTATAAAATCTGGAATAAAATCACAGACCTTTTTTATTTCAAACAAAATAAAAATATGTAGATATCTTTAACTAGATATCTAGTTAAAGATACCAGCACTCAGTTGGAGGAAGGGGTGGTATTTGCTGGTTGGTGAATGCGTTGGTTATAATTTGTTATTTGATCCCTCCTGGCCATGCTGAACAGCAGCAATACTCAAATTTGGGTAGAAGATGAAACTTCTTCATTTCCAAAGCACTGCCTCTTGGTATAGTGACTTCCAGGACTCAGTACCCAAAATTAACAGCTCTGTAATGTGCTCTTCTGCAAACTCTCTTTGCTTGGTCACTTCAGATTGATTCTCTGTGGGTTACACAAATGTGAGCAAAATCTTCATCTCAAACCATACAACAGGATCACTCCTGTCTTTCTACTAAAAGCAGCAGCTCAGAAACATAGAAAGTCCTAGAGTGACATCTTATTAGGGCATCACTGGCACAAGGATTAACACTTTCTTAACCAAATTATTTAGCAGCTTACCTTGAAATAAGTTTTACAGTCCAGAGAAAGCCTTCATTTATGTAGCTGGTGCACCATTACCTTTAACATTGCCTTGATTTAGTAAAAAAGGTAACTACAGGACAGACCACTCACATTTTCCTGGTTCTCTGTTTCTTCTGCAGCTATTCTTTCAAAGTGGCCTTTAATTGCAAACTGGTGAATTGTCTCTTAAGCTCCTACTGCTCAGTAGGATCAAGTCAAACAGGGCAGCTTCTCCACCCCCTCCTGAAGAGAGTAGTGGTGCAAAGTCAGCAGTGAGAGCAAGCTGGAGGGTCACCATGGCATGGGAATTTGTGACCTTCTGGCCCCGGGCTATGAGTTTGACCAACTGAGCCATGCTCAGACAGACTCTCAATTTTTCACACATATAACTGAATCGGCAAACCCCAGCTACAGGAAGAATACCTAGAGCATATCCCTAGGTGTATCTTTAGCCTAGCTCACGTAGATACCCAAGAGCAGGTTGGGAAACCTTTCTTAATTTCATTAAAGCTGATAGTCTCAAACTACTGACAGCCAGATGCATCATGGTTCTGAGAGCCCCATTTACACAAGGCTCACAAAACCCACATGTACAGAATGAAAAATCCACCACCAACACATTTGATACAGCTGTGCACACCAATTGCTTAGCAACAGATAGTAAAATGGGAATACACCTGCAGTGTCCTGCTATGACAGCTGCCACCCAAAGCTCTCACTGCAGCAGCTGCATGTATGTTCTTTTTTTAATTGCAAAGATGCTACACAAAACTATTTTAAATCAAAGCCATGCTGTGCACAGCACAGCATCTACTTGCTGATACTAATACAACTACATTATTATTCTATAAATAAGTGCCAAAACTCATATCTCTTCATTCTTGGCTTAAGCTCTGTTTTCTCTTTAGCAGACTTTTCTTCTATGCTTTTCCTCAAGAAGCACCTCAAGCAAATCCTGAAGAACTTTTCTGTACCACAGGCATGAAGAACACAGTATGGGGAGTAGAGAGGCATAAAGTGTCATGTTTTCAACACTGTTCTCGATTTCTACAAAAACACTGGTCCCATGAGGACACTGAATTATGAGGGGCATTAAAACAATGCCAGAGAATCTGGAAAGATCCTATTAGAAATGGCAGTTTTGGAGGACTCTCAAAAAAAAAAATAAAATGCAAAGAGCACTGAGTCAAGGTGAACTGAAGTATGCAACCAGGAAAACTTGCCAGTAAAAGGCACTCCTTCAGAACATAATGTTTTGTCTGATTGCTTTATCAGGAAATCAATTTACAACTGGTTCTTATTACTCTGAACTGAAAATGACAGGAGTGCTAAGGCTTTAAAATCAAGGAAAGGAAGGTAGGCAGAGTACAGGAGTCCTCATTCACTAAAGGATTAACCATTTTCTACTTTTGCATTTTAGAGAAATCCAGCCTCTTTCTTTCCCTGAGGGTGTTTTTTGTTTTGTTATTTTAATTTTTAAACAGTTCAGTTTCTGCTATGCACACCTAACGTAACCTTGTGCTAGTTACACAATGCTCTGAAGCAGTCTGATCTATACAATGATCTTTTTCATGGCCAAAGCTCTTCAGAGATGCCTGAAATTGCTAGTTCAGGACAAGCCTGTTGCAGAGAAGAATAAGTGTCTTAGATTTCAAACCAAGGACTTTGGTAACAAAGCCATCACAGACAGAAAAATTCACATGGCATTTTCCAAGGTTTAGTTCAAACTTGCAACATGCACAAGGCAGAATAAAAGATTCAGCTTGGAAGTCAATCTACAAAGACTGACTTTAAATGTAATTCAATCTACTTCAAATGTTATCATCACGTCCCTTGATTTTTGTTTAATTCCAGAAGAATACCTTCAGTTCAAGTTCTCTCACAAAAAGAAAATGCAATTCACCCTGCCCTTTGCTTCTTTCTCTGCCCCAGCTTCTTTTCAGCAGTATGGCCTCTGTCCATTTTCTCCTGTTGCTCACCAGTTCCCAATTCTCCAGAAAGGCCCAATTTCATCATTCATTTTTCATAGATGGATCTGCTTGGACATGGGCTTTGTGTTCTCCAGTACATTGCTTATCCTTACCCATACAGACACAGCGACTCCAGTGTGCTTTGCAAAATTATTAAACATGCAGTTTTCTACTACAGGGTCTCAGCCTCTCCCAGAATGACCAAGGAAATCCTGGAAAGCTGATAAACAGATGCTTAAAATTCCAGATAGCTCCAAGTCCACTTAAAAAGCAATGTCAGTCGTAACTCGTTTCCTCCCTGCTTTAGCATGTAAAATCCCTGTCTCTTTGTACTTGGGAAACTTATGTCAAAAGATAGGTCAACATGTTTGCCTATTAAGTCTCACAAGTCCTACATTTCTTCCACAGGTCCATACTGTTTTTCCAGTAGCAACACTGAAAGGCGCTCACTCACCTCCTTGTGGGAATCTTTATGTGCTTCCAGTGTTTTCATGATAGTCAACTCTGCATAGTTCTTAAACCTTGCTGGCTGGTTTCGTAAGATCTCTCTCAGGACTCGCAGTGCCAGGGCTCTTATTGAATGCTGTGTAATGAGGAATCAAATCTGTGTTAGAAAAAGCCAGTTCTCAAATTTATAGCTTGAAGTAACTTCTATGGGTCCCTATGGCGCCCGAAATCTTATATCGCACTTATATTGCACCAGCTCCAGCAGAGTGAACAGTGTAATCAATATAACTAAAATCCAGAATTGGTCTCCTTGTTTGCTTTTGCCCAAAAATTCACATAAAATGACTGTTGTCACAGAATTAGTCTACTTTGTTAAATTCCATAATCTTTTGGCAATGAAATACAAATTTGTACCCAAAGCAGTGTATTTGTATCACATGAATCTACAAAGCAGTTCAGGTAGTGTTTGTTTTGCCCTTCCTCTTGTGCTTAGCCTTGCAGATATCAACCTGGGTTCCAAAGTTACTTCTCATGTTATTAACACAGTAAAATCTACTCTCTTCCTGTAACTCTTATGAAAATAACTCTCAAGAACAGTTAAGTCATTGTAGTCAACACTGAACTACGTGTTAATCCTTTATATCAAAAGATCATTAGTAGAAGGGATTTATAACACCTGCTTCCATTTCATAACTGTTACATTGAGTTTCTGGCCTGTGGCCACTCCAAATAGATTCTATCATTTCAACAGAATAATACTTATTTTACTCTATACTTGGCCTTTAAAGCATGTCGCAAAATTCACGCAGTAGCACAACACATACGTACTTAAAGCCACCAGATCTTTTGATACGCTTGTGATGAGGCTATGATTAAACATGTAGGACTAGAGTAGCTCATGCTTATACTATGAACAATGAGAAAATATCAGCCACCTACACTGCTTCAGAATTAAAATTTCTAAGCATGTGCACCATATGCTTTACAAGAAGCATAAGAAAGACAATGGATTTTGAATCAGATGAAACAAAAAAAGTGTTCTGAAGCCTAAATACTGTAACATTCAGATGAAGCGTGGCTCCGATGTGAAGGCGCAGCAGCGTGCTGATACTTACCAAATATCATTGTGCTGCAATCTGAACAAATAGCCCCAAGTGGCTAGCCTGTAAATTACCACTTTGATCAACTACCAAATACAAAGCTGTGATAATAACACAGCTTTTTTTTTTAATACTTCAAAAAAAGATGCCCCATAATAGCTGTTTATTCTTGATGACATTTTTGCAAGAGACAGACACTCATCCCAAGAGATCTGATAGCCTGGATCTTTTAACCACACAGAGAAAAAAAGAATAATCTATTCAAAGCTGCCTTTATTCTTCTTTTTTTGGGGGAATGGGCATGATATAGTTAAGAGCTTGTAACTTTGTTGTAAGTTGGAAGGGGACAGCTTCTGAATCTTCATAGGTTTTGTACTAGATTAGAAGATAACTTATTTTCTGATTCTAGTTCAATTTCCTAATTGTTTGTTACTAGCACTCAGAAGGGAGAGGGGAAAATTGGGACACATCAGAGTAGCTTAAAACTCATCATTGAACATACTGAAAATGAAAGCAGAGTTATCAACCTTCAAAAGAAAAAAAAAAAATGAGTAGTGCAGCATCACTGATGAGGTGCTATACAAATGCAGCAGGTTTCATTTAAACTAGTGTGGAGAAACTAACACCCTAGGTGAAGCAATACCAGGAGAATTAAGACAAAAATCTGCATCTCACATCTTTGTCTCCCAGAGTTTCCAGCAGCAAGAGCAGAATGGTTTTGAAATGTTCCTCCCAAACTCCAAGATTATCTTCCCTTGTGATCTTCAGCAGTTCCAGGAGAGCTCCTTTCCGCTCCTCCACTCGTTCGTTGTGGTTGGAGAGCTCTTTCAGAAGATCGGCCACCAAATCTGAATGGTCAATGGGCACTTCTAGGACAAATGGCAACAAATCACTTGGGGAAATAGGGAAAAAGATCAAAGATGCCAAGATTACTAACCCTCTACAGAACAAAGTGCACATAACAAGGGCTCCCCCAAAATGCATCTAATTCCAGGAGGCCCCAGTCAAGCAGGCAAGAGAATCCAAATAGTCCACAATTTCACCTAATTTCATAACACAGCTCATGGCTTCTAACGAACCAGGAAGAGATGACAACTGAATTTCATCAAGTTCCAATAATTACTTCTACAAGGACTGTCGCAGTTTTTTCCAGACACACACACCCAAAGCCAGTGATCACATGTATGACCTTTAGATCAAAGTACAGTGACTCACCGGTGCAAAAGAATAAAGCTAAGGTGTAACATCACTTAAATGAAGTTAAATGCTCAGTAACAAGCTATTGAGTGAGATGTCAAAGAGTGGAAGGTCCCCAAAATAGTGTCCCTATAGATGCATTTAGATGCTTAAGGGACTAGCTTGGGGAAAACTCTAGGCAAACAAAAATCAAAACTGCAGTATAACATTTTCGAAATAGCCACACATGAGGTTCTGCTGGCACATGAGAACAAAATGTATTTCGTACCAAGCCTGGACTAAGATATGAAGTAATACACAACATATCCATGTGCAGACATGTACCTGAGAGCACTACCCATAAATAAAAAAGACCAGAAACAGAGTAAAACTGCAGTAAAACTGCCTGCAGTTTTATGGTACACGCTGATACAAACCATCCCGAAGCTGATCCATGTCATCATCGAACACTGCTTCCTTCAGGGCAGTCTTATCATAGGTGTTAATTGTGTCAGCATAAGGATAGGGGTTATATTCTCGAGCACGTGGCCCTGAAAAGGCGCGGGGAGGCTGGGTGTTAAGTAGGGAAGTTTTGTTATCTAGAGCCATCCTTCCACCTTCCACAATGTCACTGCTTCCACGGACATCACTGGTAGGCACAGCAAGGCCACCATCTCGAGACACCTGGGGGATCAAACAGAGAAAAAACATGAGATTGCTCAAACCCTGTATTTTTCTTTTGGATTTCACCCACCTTGAAGAGGCATAGAATTGTTTAAACATAATACTTGAGTAAAACTTAGATTACCACCTCTTTCCCTTACATAAGTACAAGTGTTCCAAAAATATATCATGATCATAGGGCAAAAAGCCATACTAACATTCCTAAATCTAAGTTAATATTGCTAAAACCGCACAAGCTGGCAAAGGTAATAACCTCTGGAACAAAATCAATTTGATAAGAGAGGGAAAGGAAGCAAAAGCAACATCCTCCTCATGAAACTTCACAAACCAGAGACAGAGGAGGCTGAATGATGCTTAGCAAGTTCACACAGAATGAACAATAGAAGGGTCTAGAAGAAGAATCTTGGACCAAGAATTTTTAGCTTTGAAGGCTAACTTAATCTACTAACATAAACTTGCTTGTCCAGGAAGCAAAACTGTCATAGAGTCACTGGATATCTCAAGCTGGAAAGGACCCGTAAGGATCATCGTTTAAGATATTTGGAAATGTTGAAGTCCACGTATTTAATGAAATAAATGGCCCCTCACACAGTAAATAATTCCATAACCATTCATGTAGTATAATGTATGAGTTGTGCACTGAGTGGTTATAGTTCCTTCCTATATATGAAGAAATAAGGTTGTGAGGGAAAGCACCCATTAATTTTAAGACCTAACATTTCCTATCACAGACCTGACTACATACACTCTCATCTGAGCTTGAGGAACACCAGCTCTTTGTATGAGGCTCCCACAGAACACCAGAAAGCACTTTTCACAGAAGGCTACAGTTCAAAGGGAGCAAGTGACCACATTAGTGGGCCCCTATAATTTAGGTAGAAGTTAGCAAGCCAAAGATACTTGTAAGAATACAGCAGGAATAACTGGATTTTATACACTAACAATCCAAAGCCAGGTTTGAACACAGTATTTTAAAATTTCACCTATCTGGGGATGGTAATCAATCCAATACTTACAATGTCACAGTCTTTCTTTCCATCACGTTTGATTGGCTCATTCAGGTCCTCTTGACTACGGAAACTAAATTTTTCTATTGCTTCTGTGACTCCACGAAGAGAGCTGTAGATTTCATCAGAATTTAGGTTCTCCGTGTCATAATCCAGCATACTAAAGACCAAACGTATGTGAAATGTTACAGATGAAATTGGAATCTGCTTTTGACTGTTAAGAAAAACACTGCTAAGTTGGAGACGGATGATTTGGTGTACCCTTTGTAACAGTGACTTGTAACAAAACATGGATGGAATCAAAGCAGACTTTGGGGTCTGAGTCTCCCCTCAAATGGGACTAAATCTAGGAGAAACTTAACTGAAATCAGTGGTGTTACGTCACTGTGAGGGGAAGTCACAGTTACATTCAACAGCAGTGAAGTGTTAGCTTCTGTAAATAAAAAATGCCAAAGCTCTCCCCAGCACAGTAATGATGTTATTTAAAAAGGAAAATAAAATCATTTACTATGAAAACTTAAAGGGCTGTGACAACTGGTGGAAATGAAATTAATGAAATTTAAGTTTCATAATACATCAAATACAGTCTATCAATGGATTCAAATGTGACAGATTCAAATTAAAAGGAAAATGTATCTTGATGTAAAACTTAGTCTAACATGCCCCATTTTCATTTATAGAGCAGTAAAACCAAAACCACTTGCATAATGCCTGATAAACAATGCATTTTAGTATTGAGCCTAAGTTTGGGAATTCTTTTAACTCAAATCTGATACTTTCTTGCAGTCTGTCTGTTCCTCATAAATTTCTCAGCAGCATAAAGCCACACAAGTTTTGGGATCCCTTGAGGAGTTATCCAAACTTAAGTTCCATGAAAAAAAGCCTTGTATGCAAGGGCAGATGATATTAAAAGATCTGTCTAAGAAGAGGATGTCCTACAAGCTCAAACAAAATGAAAAGGCATTATTGGCAGGGTTCTGCTCTGTCTAGAAGTTAAGTTTGCATGACAATCAGTTTTCCGAGAGAGAATGAACAAAGAGACCCAGTCAACTGAGACCAATTTCTCTGGTGGAGTCTTGGATCTTAACAGAGCCAGAAGCAAATAAACCAAAAGAATTTGAAATATTTACATCAAGTTATTTGTCAATAAATGGCAAGAAGTGGCTCCCTACAGGGGTGAGTTACTATTTCTTAACAGTTTGGGAAAGATGACAGGATGGGCTTAGAGAGGAGGATGGTTGAACAAAGGGCTGTGTTTTGTTTTCCACAAAAGAAAGATTCCCTGTGAGGTGGGCAAGGAAAAACATAAAAAAGGGAAAATCCCTTCCGAGTCCAGGGTACACAGCTATTATTTTCAACAGAACTAAAAGTAGGATGCTAAATACCTAGAACCACTGCTTTTTGTTTTTTTTTTTCTGGAAGAAACTCAGGCACTTCAGACAGAGGGAAAGATGGGTGCTGCCTGATTCCTTTGGGATTAACACACTGAAAATAGCCATAATCCCTGGCTCCCAAGCAATATGCTCGCACTACACTCATACAAGCATCAGCACCATGTATTCTGGCAAAGAGACCAAAGAACAACTCCCCAACTTTAAACAGTGTCTGTCAAGCCAGGAAGAAAGAGAAACCACTTAAAGACAAAGATCTGGAAACAAAAGCTGTTTATAAACCTACAGAACTCAAAGTATTTGGGGCTTTTCAGACAGCTGAATGACACTAATGCACTGTGATAACTTTTCAGACAAAAGTGAAGGCAGTTTTTAAATTCTTTATAAGTCTCAGGCAGGGATAGGAAAACCTTTGTTTCCTATGATCTCAAAAACATTAATTTTGAGCTCAAGCATGTTTAATTCATAGATCTTAAGGCATTCTTCGTACAGTATTTAAGTGAGCAATTAAACTGCCATCTGAGAAGGTATACATGTGACTGTACCTGCGTACCCATACTAAGAGATGACAATGAAATTCATGGAAAAAAAAAACAACAAGAAATAATTACAGATATACTGACACTAAATCTACTACGATCATCACTTCTTTCATCAGGGATGAATTTTGCCCTAAACTGCTACCAAAGAACAGATCAAAGTACAGACTCTGCAATGCTACAGGACTAAGGCAATTTCTCAACAAAGAGCCACTGATCCGATGCATTTTTCAAAGCACAAAACCACACTTTAATAAAAATCTAAAGTATCCAGTGATTTCATATGTCAAGAGTAAGCCTGTGCAGGAGATCACATTATGGCTGTGTTCTAGATGAACAAAATCTCTGTATGTGAACACACATGTCTATTGACAGTATGTGCACTGGAATAGTTCACAGACAACACAATGGGGGGGGGGGATAAAAATGGAACTACACCCACCTTTCAGAAAGGAAAAGAAAAAAGGGGGCACAGAAACAAAACTAATTATGACCCATGCAGAAACTAGCGGAAAGTCACAGGATGAATAAGAAGTAGAGATGAGCAATGTTTAGGGATGTCACAACATTATTTTCCATCTCCTGCTGCACTAAAGCAATGCAGCTCTCTACAACTTTATCAAGATATAATTTGGCAGTTTTCCAGTCTGACATAACATACATTTTATTTCCATAAACTATTATTCAGTTTCCAATTCAAAATATGTGTAAGTAAGCAACAGTTTAGTATCCTCAAGCAGTACACAGTAATTCACCTCCTTGCACTTTCAGGCTCTGGGCTGAAATGTCAAATTATTCTAAACCTTGGTGTCAAATAATGGAAGGAGGAAAAAAATTCTCAACTACTTTAACTCCAAAAATCAACATGCATCTCTTCCACAGATATTTTCATGTCCTAGAAGAGTCAGAACATTGATTAAAGGTTTTAATTCTGCAGGTATTTACAGAGGTATGGACTATGGGATTCTATCTTCTCTCTCAGACGTCACAGATTCCCAGATTTTGAGCCCTCAAAGAACAATTTGTTTGCTTTTCTTTCAATAGTTTTTCATTAGGAACTTCTTGCTTCAAGGAAAGACTATGTAGTCCTTCCTCAGGTAATAGGCTTTCTGTAGATGTAATTTCTCCTGACAAATAAACCTGTTGTCAGTGTATAAACTTAAAAAAAAAATCAAGGAATTTTACACAAAGGTCTGAGAAATTATATTTGTATCTAGAAGGTGTTTTTTTTTTTTTCTTTTATTAAAATCAGTATACAGGTTTAGTCCACCATACTGACTAAAGATCTGTATGTAGACTTGAAGAAAATATGATAGCACAGGAAGAAAAAGAGATGCCAAAATTAGGGACTGATAACCTAAATCTTGTGGTAAGGACAATTTTCGTTTCAATCCTAAATCTTCCACGTACAATCACACTGTGCAAGCTTCATCCTCACTGCCCTACAGGTATTCACTGCCGCAAATGTGAAATCACTACTAAGCTGTATTTGCCTGTTAGAAAGTACTTGTGTGCTGCTTGCACAACGTACCCAAGTTTAAAGACCCTGCCCGTGCTATCATAATGCAACCAGTGCCTGCTGAAAGTGCCCAGTAACTGTGTTCTGCATTGGAAGCCAACTGTGAAACATACACCCTTCCAGCAACCTGGCAGGGAGGAAGTCTGGAAAAAAAACCCTTCCCCCCCCCCCCCCCCCCCACCTGCATGCCATATCTTCCCTGAGCAGCTAGCAAGTGGCTGCCTGTCACCTCTGCTGTCTGAAAGCTATCATTACCTCTTCTCCTTTTCCAACCAAAGGCTCTGCAAATCATTTCCCATATATGAACAAATCCCACAGTGTGAAAGGTAAATAATACTGTGACACCTCAGACAAGTTGGTTTAACAGGTAGCTTGTTACCTGGGAGAGTAAGAGCGTCTGAAAGTCTTGTGGGAAGGAGCAGTGGGGATGGAGTTAGGCTGAGAAAGGGGAGGGGGGTGCTTCGACAGCCCATCTGCACTCCAACCCCAGAACCGACTGCCACGATCAGAGGAGAAATGAAAGAGAAAAAACAGAGAGGAGAGGGAGAAAAAAAAAAAGAAACTATAATCTGAGTGGCTTAGTGCTGTCATGCTGCCTTGGAGAGAGAGAAAAATTAATAGAAACAAAATTAAACAAGAATACTCCACTGAACCTCACAAGTCATTGTTTTGGCCATTGTTATTCATTTCCATTTTTATTCCTAATGTAATGATACAGTTCGCACTAAAATAGTCCCTGCTTCTACTAAATGTAAATTTTATAAATGGATACAGCTTCCATAAACAACCCAACATATTCTAAGTAAGCAATCCCTGACCACACATCCCAGGTACTTGTGAGCAACAGGATTTCCCTGAAAGAAAGTAAAGTTGGGTACCTTGTAAAGTTTGGCTCCTGCAATCAGGCCCTACACAACAAGCATATCTTCGCAGGGCTTAAGATCTGATCCTATTTTACCAGATTCAACTGACCCCAAATATGCAGCAAGTGGAAATCAGTCTAGAGTGGAAACTTATCTTGTAAACTAGTGACTTGGTCCAGGTCTCAGCAGAAAAACCTGGAGAGACTGGATGAAACCAGCCTCTAAGTCATTTCAGATCTCTCAAAATTCCACAAGCTCCTTCTGGTTACTGTTTGATCCTGCACTTTTGGGTCAAGGCACTCCATACCCATGCCAATTACATTTGTCCCATTCCCTGTTTGCTTCACAGATTTTCAAAATCATCTTCTAAATGAGAATATAGATGCTTGTGCTGGTAGAGTATTCAGGACAGTGCTTTGTTTCTATTAAGTTTAATAACACTATCTTGGAAAGTCACATTTGTATATACGAAAGTGACAGATATTGAAGATCGGAAGCAGCAATCGAGTCAAGAATTGCAAACAGCAGCAAAGCCAGTTGAAAAAAATTCCTCTTAAGAGTGGTGTCAAGAAATTTACTTGTTAACCAGCAATCAAAAAACATAGCTATTACATGCAACTATTACAGAAATACACCAGACACCCGCGCTGCTGATCAGAAGTCTCACAGTTCACAGGTGAGAAACACCTACCTGCACATGGGCCACCAAACAAAGCAGGCTTGTTCTCACTGTATAAAGTGAGTGGCTATTTTTAATTCTTTTTCCATGCCTTGCTCAACTTAATACTGAAATTTTATTTTTTGTGGTATTTTCTATTATCAGGGAAAAAAAACAAGCACAAACTTACACAGCCAGATAAAATCATTACCCCTTATTTTGTGGCATTTCCTCTAGAGATCTTTGAAGGACTGAACTTACTTTTTGGGGTTTGTTTTTCTAATAATTTGATCTGAGCACAGGTTTCTGGGCTACTGATAAAGGCAGAAACAGTAGAGCAAATATATTAAATTGTTGTTCCTTCAAATATTCCTATAGAATCCTAGGTGAAAATTCACAACCTGAATGTAACATTTGAGTTTACAGAAGTTCATTTGCTATTCAGAACGGTATTCTTACACTGGAGAACTTCACAACCCAGTATTTTCCTTTTTGTCATACTAAATCATTCACTAAATCTCAGATTTTCTCTGTCTAACACAAGCAATTCATCTGAGCATTGCTCAGGAAACATTCTTCTCCGTTAGAAGTTTGGGGTTTTTTCCTATTATTTTCAGTCTTCACAGGTGCCCTCCCTGCTTTTCATCTTCAGAAAACACTTCTTTCCTCCATAATTCCTCTTCCCCAAAAATTAAAACTGTCAAGACAAAAAAAAAAGCAGGTACAAATGCAAAAGTAACTCACAGATGAAGTGGATATGTTCTAGTGATCATGAAGCAGAACTGGATGGAGCAAATGAAAGCAGGAAGGACTCTGCCCAAGGCCCTGAAAGCACGTTACCCTTCTGAAGACACTAACACGAGAGGATACTTAAGCAGATGTTATCATATGGATAGACAAATTAGCTGTTTGCATCCATAAAGTCCAGTTCAAGCAAAACATTCAAAATCTACCCATGAACACATAAGTACACACACACACACAAAAAAAAAATCAGTCATCTGGAATTCAGTTGTGATGGCAATATTATGGAAGAAGTAATGTAACCCAAGGGCTATGGCACACACATGTACTATAGAAAGTCTGTATCAACAAAGCCTTGCTGACTGAAGATATTGTCCACAAATCATTAGTTATATGGGAGAGCAGCTATGCTTAGTAGCATGTTTATATTTGGACACATGCCAAACTATTCTTTCTGCATGTATCCCAGCCCCAAAGACATATATGTCTCTAGATGAGAGTACTTCAATCTATGCATCAAGAAAAAAAGGTAAAGAAAAGTATAATCTTCAAAACTGGCATTAAGAACTGGAGATAATCTCTTAACTGGCTGCATTCAGGCTGCTGTAAAAGACATAGGCATGGACAAGGTAAGCAGGGCCTGTACATGGAGCACCCTAGGAAACAATGGGCATACACAGTCTTAGTACAACCCACTGACAATGGGTCCCACAAAAATGTAAAGCCAAGCCTTGCTTCGGAGAAGGGCTACACAGAGAAACTTTGGGAATCTTGATTCTTTTATACTGCTATCAGACTGACTTGAGTGTGCTCATTTTCCAGGTTTGTAGAGAGAAAAGTGACATTTTACATCACTGATGAACAGCAAACGACAAGCATCTGTAATGAAAACATGACACACAAGCATCTATACTAACAACTGCAACAGTATGGCAGTCTACTCTACTTCCTGCAGGTAGGGTACTGCAGTGTACCCTACTTCCTGCAATCTGTTAGCATATCTTCTGAAGCTTTTTGTTTAAAAGAAGGATGGCCACATGTACTCTTCAGAAACAGAGCTAAATTCCTTTGTTCTCCGAGTCAGAAATATGCTCAAACTGCTACACAAGATACTTTCAAGAAGGATGCAGTCCAGCAGAGCATCAGAAGCCACTGCCACTGATTGCAGTACTTGCCACCAACTTTTCTACAAACAGTAAAAATTAGCAGCTAATGCTGCTGCTCAGAGGTCACTCACAAAAAATAAGGTAGAACTTCTCCCCTGTTCATTTTAAAGGGCTTTTACAGCAGTTCCCACCTTCACCTATCATTGAAGATTATCTTTGACTCACCATCCTTGAATAACTAAATCCAGCAAGGAAGAAAGACAACCTTCTTGAAATGACACCTACATTTCTGGATCACTATCTCCAAGAGTTCCACAGAAAATTGAAGGAATGAATGACTGTTTCCTAAAAGAAATTCCTGGCCCACCGTATCAATGGCAGTTTTGGTCTTGACAACTTAATGGCAGAATGCTCTGGAATTACATGCCCTCTCTAACTATTCCTTGAGAACATCACGTAGGAAAACCCCCTCCAGTTCCTAAACCCAAAATGCTGGAAAACAACAGCAACATAGTATTAAGTGTTGGCTGAAAACTTCAATCAATAATTTGATACATGCATCCTGACATCAAGAGGTGAAAAGAATGCAAAGACAAATTGAAAAGCGGTGAGTGAAGTGGCAACACACTGTCATGTCCCAATGGAAAACCCCAAAAAGCATGGTAAAAGGTCATGAATTTATAAAATAAGTGCCACATGCAAACGTGGCCAACAAAGCCACAACGTAACCACAGGGAGATATATCTCAGTTTATGATTTCCCATGACAAATCAGCAGGGCAACAATGCTCAGACTAGTCAAAAAGGAAGCAACATAGATGGAACCATTCCCCTGAAACTCTACCACTTAATTTCTTAATGAAAACTTTGTTAAAAAAACCCTCGTAATAGGCAACTTGACCTTGGCTTGCAACCACCCACTCTAGTTTTGGATTACAGCAGATTTAGGGGTCACAAAGATGTATTTAGATATCTAGAATTTTCTCAGGAAACCCCATGTGTTCCTCATATGCTGCTGGAATTAGTTTAACTCCTTATGAAAGGCTAAAAGCCTATATTTTTCATGACACATGGGAACTCACATGTCTAAGTATCCCTCCAGACATGGGTTAGCACATCATGACAGGGTTAAATTTCAGTGTAAATTACTACAGTGGACTACAAACTGCAGTCCTCACCCAACATATTTCCATTTCTTCCATGATAAAGGGAGACAACCTCCCATGGAGAGGACAGGCAGAGAACAGCAGCAGCTCTCAAGTTTTCCCAGCATAAATCAAAGCTTCTCTAAATAATAACGTAACACTTCCTCCAATATTTCTGTAGTGCCAGAGCACACTGTTTAAATTCCCATCTCAAGTGCTCCAAGTTTTTATGGGGTGAAACGTGAACATTTCCCATATGCAAATGTCCATGTTTGCAAAATAAAATGTTTTGTAGTGCACCAATATATTCTAGGGTAGCACCTGCATCTTCAGCAAAACACCTGGTTGTAATAGACCCGCTGCCTGAAGGATCAGGCCACTATTCTTCTGGTAAGCAGCCAGGAGAATGATTTGAGAGGTACTCAGCATTAAAACACACTCACCACCTCTGCTTGTTCTGCACCCTCACAAAGCATAAAAGGGGAACTGGAAATTCAGCACTTCTCTCAACAGCACAAGCACTGCACTACAGTCAGATGAATTACTGAGCACAAGGGCACGCCTAAAATACAGACAATCTGAAACCCTTGACATGAAAGTCATCATATACTTCATGTTATTTGCAACCCCAACAAGACCTCATTTCTAATACTGCCATTTCATATTACCTTTATTGAACCCACAAATGTAGTTCTGGAGAAGGCCTAGTTATGAAAGAAAATTAGTACTATAAGAAAAGACATTAAGATTACACAGATGACATGAGGACTGGAACACTGAAGTCTATCACCAACCACATATTATAATGTTCCAACCCTGTTTCTTTGGAGAAATCTACTGTAAACTTTTGGTCTTGTTTTTGCTTTCAAAGTGAGTCATATTCTGCAAATGCACACTCGGTGTTGAAATCCTGTAATATTTTTTAAGTGGTTTAATTACCCTGCCACATTACCTTGGAGACAGCCCACCATGGGAACAGTTGGTAGGTGAAGTTAAGGGGCTGGTTCTGCTGCTGGAGTGCCGGGAAGGGGTCCGACCAAGGGTATTGCTGGGGGAACCCTGGCACAGAGGCAGAAGACAGGGATTAGCAACATGTTGCAATGCACAGGCAGGAGCACACAACAGCAGGTCCAAATATTGCCTTTGTTTGTGCTAGACAAACTTAGCGCAGTTTTGGTTCTGGCTCTTGACCTAAAAATCTGTACCCGTTGTTCATGTAGTCATTAGTATGTTCTTGAAGGTACTGTTCTGAGGATAGAGAATGCATGTGCACTTTCCTACAGTCCGCAGTACATGCAATTTTAACTATGCAACACACACAGCCTGCAAATATTACCAGATAAATGGCTTATCAATCCAGCAGGCTACCCAGCTTCTCAGATACTATTTGCCAGGCTTCAACTTGAAACCATTATCCTGGCAATTTAGCAATTTAATTATGCAGCTATTTTAAGCATTGTCTAAAGCATTCTGATTGTGCTTGTTAAGAGCATAAGCAAGCAATCTAACTTATTATTTTTCAACTGGCCTCCACAACCATTTGTACCACACCAAAATGAGTTGAAATTGCTCCCAATTATGACTCTGTTCACACAAAGTCAAAGGTACTAGAGAACCCAGTTCATTTGCCTGGAAGCCTAATGTTGCAGTTCCAGCGTAGACAAAGGGTCTACTTGTCCCTATAGAAGCGCAAAGACAGGAGGGTTCAAATTTCAGGAAGTTTCACAAGATTTCCACATAGAAAAGGCCAAAAATGCCCTAATGCTTGCTGTTCTGGGGGGAAAAGAGGTTTAGAAACATGCTTAAATCCTCTACTAACATATTGCTTCAGAGAAATAAAAATATGCAAGGGCTTCATGTAAAACCGAAGCATAGTGTAATAGGTTTACACTGAGCAGATCTTGTAGGTCTCCCCTCTAGGTGTGGACTGAGGAGACCTTGTAGATCCTGTGAGCTTCCAAGAAGACAATATAATAGATTTCAATAGTAGTGGTAGGCCCAGAAAATCCACGGTATCAGGATTTCTGGTTTAAGCCAAAAGATTGTTACTGGCAGGATTTTCAAAAGCACAAATTTTATAATTCCCACCTCCCAGTCTTTACTGCTTATGGCTATATTAAATTTAAAAACAACTGAATGTTTTGTTTTAATGGTTCCCATAAAAGCAACATCAAATAGACGCCTCTGTTTTAAGAAAGTTACAGATAATTCATGTTACTGAGCATCTGAAACAGCTTATCAACGAGCTGCTGTCTTTGGGGCTCTGCTGTTTGCAAGGACAAGGGCCTCTCACCACACTGGTGTTACTCGAGTTCTTGAGGTGGTTGTGCAGGAGCTTGGTAGCACCATCCTGGAATGTTTTTGGCAAGGCACCAAGTAACATGGTAAACTCAGGAGTGTTCAATTCAAAGAGAGAAATCAGGACTATTTGTGCTGCCTGAAAAGAAAAAGGAAAAGACCATCAGTTTTTATTCTTTGAAAAGACTATGCACTCTGTTCGTAGCGATCCTTATGGTAAACAATGTGTGTATCACCCAAACAGATTACTCCCATACTAGACCAATTTTTGACATGTTCCTTGTTGTGTCATAATGAATTGCTAACTGCTATAGTTTACTTTTTAGTTCTTAGACCTTACAATATACTTTTGCATTTATATCCTTAACTGCTCAGATGTGAATTGTACAGCTATTCACAGCTAGTGAGAAAATCTTACCATTGTCCTGTCCAGCATATATTTCAATTGAACAAGCCACTGAAAACATTTACAGAAAACAAACCCAGAAGTATGAAGAATCTAGGACTGCAATCTATCATTCACATGCTTTCTATTTTAAGTGTGAATGGGCCTAGTTTCTTCACACCCAATCACTACTTCTCCTAAGGATCTGATGAGTTTGTTTCATCAGACAGACAATCCCTCCTGTTTTCTCACTTCTCATCGCAAGTCTTATCATTGAGGCTGTTTCAGCAACACAAGACTCCATAGGAAGTGGAAGATCTACTGCGATGGTGAGAATCATCATTCTCTCATCCATGGACAGGCTAAACCCCACCAGAATTCCCAAATTTAGTAAGTAAAACCAGGGTACCACTGAAATAATTGAGAATGTTACCATTAAATTCACTGGACAGGGTTTGCCCTATTCACCTGGATAGAACAGCTGCCATAACAGGATCTCCACTAACTCTATTAGCAAACATACAGCTCTGCATATGCTGAACTAAGACAATGGAATAAAATTGGAATGGAAGGAGAATACATCAGCATGCAGATCTGCAAGAGTAATCAATATTACATGTCCCCAACTAGGCTTCCCCAGCAGCACACAATATGCATGTGGATTGCACCAATTCTGTTTATTTTCCCCTGCCTCTGCCTTGAAAATATATAAAAATATACACATTGATTAAAAGAACAATAAAAATGAAGCAATGATAAATGACCTCTGATGGTCTGCAGCACCACCTTCTCCAACAGGGGTGCAGCCATTGACACATCAACCTCCAGAATACATACCTGGATACCAAAGAGTGGCTTAAATCACAAAGTAAGAAGCAAAGCTATAAGTGCTCTTATTTTGGAACAGCTTACATACAGGCTTAAGAGAAGCAGACACTTGTGTCTGACCTCTATGAAAACTTTCTAAAACTTCCTAAAAATGAAAAAGAAGAGGATAAAAATATAATTCACTGCTGTGGCAATAACTGTACAGTCACTGTTCTCATCGATTCAAAGAAGGAATTTTGTGTTTGCAAAGTTGCAATAATTAAGTGTATCTGTAGTTCCCTGGGAAGTGGAATCTTTCAGCAGACGATGAACTCAGGTACACAAAAATCCTTTCACAGTGAAGAGGAATCAAAGTACCTCATTGTTTCAGTGTGTAAATTGCAATTCAAGCTACACTGTTCCTTCACTATCAGCCCCAACTTGCAGTAACATGGCTTTGTATATGAAAACATTTTCCATCTATGAAAGTTTGGTAAATAACATCCTTTTCATATGGCCAACAAAGAACTGAGGCACACAACACTCAATGGGCTTCCAAGGACTACAGCAAATAACAGGTCCTTAGACTCCTCATTCCAGATGGATCACGTTGCCTCCTGTCAAAACTCTCACTGACTTGAACAGAAACATGGTATGTCATTATTCACTTCACACTAAAGATGTAAGCATGAAAGAAGTGGGAAGACAATTTTCCCCTTGGCTTTCTTAACTCATACTCTACCCTCCTCTGACCTGAAGTTTTGGACAACTCTGCCATGAAGCCTGCCTGGTATCCATATATCCTGTGTATTTCTGTCCATTTTGATCCAAGAACTTTAAAGTTTTCACCAGCATAGTATCTTCTGTAATAAAAATATTACTGCAAACAAGATCTCAGAACAACAATCAGCATGTTGAACTGAACGCAAAGTCATGCCAAAGTGCATTCCTGTTCGTGAATGGCATGCGTATCCTGGATGGTTAGGAAGTGGACATGCAGATCTTCTGTGTCAGAGCAAAAAGATCTCATTAATTGAGCTAAAAACCAAAATAAAACAGGAAGGTTGATCAACAAGATTTCCAGGGTTGAGAGACTGCTCTGAGATTAAAATGCCTGGTAAGTCAGAAGCTGCCCAAGGTACAGTGAGGCGGGAAAGAGTTTCATAGGCCTTTGTGCCATGTATCTCCCACTGATGGGTTAGAAATAAGGTCCTTCTTGAAGACCTTCTAAGGAAATAGAATGAAATAATGTCTTTTGCCTAAAATAAACCTAGAGGTGCAGTTGGATGACTGAGGCCTATTTAAAAAGAACATAGTCGAGGCAAAAGCCATTACATGAAAGCTCCTACTTAGGATTTAACACACAAAGGTCTTGGGCCCTGATACTATAAAATCAAGAACAGTTACTGACTTCAAAAGGCGGAAGGTACATGATACCTTGAAATCACACCTACAACATGCTCCTAGTTTCACTCTTGCAATAATTCCAGTTTTAATATAGTTAGTTTTATTTCAGCAATGAAGAGCATCAGAAGCAGCATTTCTACACCCATCTTAACAGTTAGATAGGGACACTCTTGATAATCCTCTAAGTTCCATTTACCTCGTACACATTTATCTAATCAAAGGACATCTTTTACAGATAATGTTTCTAAGCATTTTAAATCTGCGGATTTTCAGCTTGTGACAAACCAGAGGACATTTGCATATTTGCAGATCACTGGCCATTTCTGAAAATCTTGGCTCTTGTTTCACTAGATTACTGGAGTAGATAAATTTAAAACAAGGAAAAAAAAATTTACTTCTGAACACAATGTACAAACATTCTCCATGCAACACTCATGCTTGATGATATAAAGTTGAAGAAGGAGTAAAAGCTGAATTTTCCTTTGTCTTTGTGTCCCTGTACCATTAGTGTGGAACCCTAATCCATCTCTTTACAGTGACATATAACGTAGACACTATAGATTATCTAATCTTAACGAAGCAGTTCTCTGCTGGCTTAAGCTAGATAAACTCTAGTGACTTCAGAGCCTGACTATGCTAGTGAGGGGGTCTGGCTTCATGTCAGGTTGTTGAATCATTTGCAAAGGATCACTTATGTAACTTTATTATTTTCTTTATAACAATGCAGTGAGGGATCAGGTTCCACAAGCTGGTGGCAGTGCCCGAAGCTTCACACTTGGACAGCATGAATTGCATTGACCTAACAGTCCCAGTTGTTAAAGGGACACAAATACTTTGGCAACTTTTGGGTTTGGGCTTTACCTAGACAGTGGGCATTGGACAGATTTATCAAATACTGTAACCTCTGCAACTTGGCGGAATTTTTGTAAAGTCTCTTTGAAATTGTTTGGGCTCATTAAACAAAAAGATCAAGGCTAACTGGAAAAATCCACTGATTTTAGAAAGGAAATGCGATCAGTGACCTAAGCTTAATACAAGTGCCCTATGATTGCTGCTGCTGCTGCTCCAACAGACCAAGCAGAAAAAGCAGCTAAGTTGCCTGAGCTATGTGAAAGCAGTTTTCAAGTTACTCAAACATTGGCAATGGACTCCACAACACTGGTAGTCCCATAAAACAAGAGGATCTCATACCCTGGTTGCTTATGAGGGACTACAAGAGAATTAACAGAAAAGCACACCAAAGCAAACATTAACTTCACAGACAGACACGCTTTTTTCAGGCTCCCAGTCAAGGTCTCTTTACACTAGACAATTGAATTGAGACTGCAAACACGATTAGTGTGATTAGTGCACATGGTTTTTAGTCTACCTGTTTACATTTCTCTTCCAAGTTTCCTTCACCGGGCCCTGAGGAAGCTGTAGTTGTCCTAGCTGGCAAATCCTCACCCACCCAACTATGCATGGTCTGGGTTTGACAAACAGCAAAGTTGGTATTTAGAGAAAGCACAGATTTCAACTAAATCATCTAAACAGTACACATGCTATATTTTTGGAGAAGAGTTATAACTCAGTTCTTTGCTTAATTTCAAGTGACAAAAAGCATAAATACTTGATTTAACCAAATTTAACCAAACCAAAAGAGGATTCCTTTCAGCAGAGGGCAGCACTGGCTCAAAATTAAATTCAACCACAACTCTTAGGCTTCTAGGTCATCCCTTGGTTCTCATATCAAAGCTTTGCTTTGGCAATCTCCTGATAGCCTCCATAACCACTTGAAAACTTCTGTTAAAGTGCAAAGCCTAGGCAGTGCTGGACTGAGATGGCACTTGCATCTGGCCAGCCAGGAGGAGAGTAGGGGAACAGGTGCTTGCATCTACCTGCACCTATCCTTGCACACATCTAAGTTCAGAAGAATAAGCAGTTAAGAACTTGCAAGCTCCTGACTCCAGTTCGGGCATCAGTCTGATAGACCAATACTGTCAACAAATGCCTTTTATCACGTGATCAGTCTGGGGAAGATCCACGCTAGGATCTACTCACTTTTCATAGAATCCTAGAATAGTTTGGGTTGGAAGGGACCTTGAAGATCACCTAGTTTCAAGGCCCCTGACGTGGGCAGGGACACCTTTCACTAGACCAGGTTGCTCAAAGCGCCATTCAACCTGTCCTTGAACACTGCCAGGGATGGGGCAGCCACAGCTTCTCTGGGCAACCTGTGCCAGTGTCTCACCACCTTCATGGCAAAGAACTTCTTCCTAATAACTAACCTAAATCCACCCCTCTTCCAGTTTAAAACCATTCCCCTTTGTCCTATCCCTACATGCTCTTGTAAAATGTACCTCTACAGCTTTCTTGTAGGCCCCCTTTACGTACTGGGAGGCTGCTATAATCTTATTCAGTATGCATCATTCATTTCACTGTCCAGTCTAAGGCAAACGTGTAACAACTTCAGGCACACTGGAACAGAGAAGCTCGCTCTCTCATGTCACCTAGAATTATACTAAACTGCAAATCAAATATAGATCCACTGAGATCAAGAGGCATCACTGACACATTAGGCAGCTTGTATTAGCACACACTGGCATAGGGCAATGCTTTAATTCTCCAATGAGTGTAGCTGATGTTAAGCGAGTTAATTCACAGCTACTGAGAGTGTCCACAGGCTCTAAACAAGTATTTTTTAAATGTACTTTCCAGCAGACAATTAAATGTTAGCTGGCTAACATAACTAAGACAACAAACTATCTACCACACCAAACCTCCTGCTTGTTCCCTTTTCAGGTCTAGAATCAGATAAGTATGGACATCCAAATACTGATACAGTAATATGAAGCATAATGGCTTCATCAGTTCATACGTAATCCAAGCGTGTTAGCTTGAGCAGTTTTTAAACACACAGTTTTCCCCAAAGACTTCTATCAGAATATGCTGTTTTCATCCACATCCTGAAAAGGAAGAATTTGTTTAACAGATTTAGATACAGAATTCATATACAGATTAAATCCACATTGCTATTGTGTTTTATACAGCACACACTTAATATATCATGAAAGGTTTTTACAAGTCATGAGTGGTTGCATTACATGGGTCAAAGGCATCTCAAACAAGTGCCAGCAAAAAATATTCAGCACTGATTCACCACACATCAGATCACTGTTCTATAATGGATTATGATTCGTTATGCATGCTGTTATTTTGTGACCTGGGCACAAAAATCACTGCAAAAACGTTCTGGAGAGCCAGATGTTACCCCAAAGTCAAGCTGATGAAGACTAAGTAACTTTGCTTCTTACAAAACAGTGTTTGTTGCAAAACCAGGTTTAAGTACTAGAAAAAAGGTTGCATTTCATTAACAACTGAGAAACTTCTATTATAACCCTAGCATAATGTAAGTCTGAATCCTAAGGGTGAGGTTCCAACGTATAAGCTAAGAAGGAAGAAAAGGTACTGAAGTAAGATTGTTTGTAATGTAAACATGCACTTTAACCTGGACTTTCAAAATGTTAGAGTAAGTACGGCAGACTTATCCATCATAGTCCAGAGAAAACAGCATACAGTCTATCTACTGGATGGCTCCATAATGCATTATGTAAGTATTACCTCTAATCTCAATAGATACATCGCCTCTGTAGGGGTGTGTGCATATAAATGGCACATACACACAAACATACTAGACAGTCACATAATATGACTATACACGTTCTGTGGTGCAATTTCTTATATTATATTGCACTAGCTTTTACCATTTCAAGTAAACCAAGAAAATGTGCTTATATTACAAACTGCTTTCAATGCAAAGGATGTGTAGAGCAAAGATTCATTTTAAGGAAATCTAGCCTAGCACCATGATGATTTTCTGCATGCTAACATTGGGTAAAAGCCATTTCCTCACACTGCATACACTAAAAACATTTGGGCTCTCATAGCTCTGTAGCATCAAATTCAAAACAAACAAAATGATGGCTACTGTTTTGGAAACACAGCTAGGACACAGAGATCCTTTTTGTTCTAACAGAATTACATCAAGTGAACAGTGAAGTCCACTAGATGCCATTTCTGATCTGTTACATTATTTTTCCTAAAACTATGTTTAAAGGAGTCCCTCTGTGCATTTAGTCTGAGTTTGACTTATTTAGGAATATTCTTTGGCTAAAAGGCTGACCTCATACAAGGTCATAGAAGACATAGTGTTATTTAAGATTCCGTAAACCTGAAACTGAAAACCTAAGGCCTGGTTCTCTGGTAGCTTAGCTCTTCATGGAGTCTATGAGACACAAATCTGCTGTAGGAATATTTCAAGAGTGCTACAGAAACCTCTGAACCAGAAAGGCAAAGGCCTGCAGCTGGGAGGGATTAAAACAATTTGACATTCAAAAGCATTTCTGCAAACATCCTCTTTGCCACTGATGCTGTAGCAGGCTGTGACCAACAGTGTTTATTGTCCAACACCAGTGAAGATGAACAATGCCATTCAGCTCACTAAGAATCTTTGGGAGTGCTTTTACAGCAAAGCATCTGTCCCAGAGTTGCTCAAATCAGCCTGATGCTAGACAGGAAATTAAAACTCCAGGAGAGATTTGAGAGGTCTCATGGCATCACACTGCAAAGGAGCCCAATTTCATTTCCTCTGAAGTGTTTGCTTTCCTGTCTATCACTGCTCCTTCCTACAGACATCACAGCAATATTTTACCCAAATTTGCTCTGGGCTTTATTGATAGATCCAATTTCCTTATAAAAGTGACATCATCAATATTTTTCAATAAATGTCATCTAGGACTACTAGTTAAAGTAGCAAATACATCTTAGTTGGCTGTTTGAGCACATGAAGAATTGTTAATCTGCAGCTTTCTCATCTCTTTCTTCCTCATCTTCTGGTGTAATTCAGAATGAATTTCTCAATCAGTTTTAGGAAAATATCTGATCCCAAACTTTTTTGATTTGGATACCACTAGACTTCACCTACAAACCAGTGGTGGCAATCCAGAAAGGGCCATAGCCCTAGGAATTCTGAGGGGAACTTCATGCAAATGACAGCAACATAAGCATTCTCCTGGGCTTTTTGATTCACTGCAATGGTTCCAGTTTCCTATCAAGTCCCATCCACTGTCTGTACTCAAGGGCAGCTTGACCAAATTCAGTAATGAGTGGGACAGTTGAAAGAAAAAGTTTTCCCAGCTACACAAGTGTAAGGCAGAACATAATGTACACATGACACAAGGCTGCCCATAATGTGGTTTGTAAGAGAATACTGCAAGAATATTTCATTGACAGAGAAGACAGTGAGGATATCTGGCACGAAGGAGAAATTTCTTCTTCCCTGAGATTAGCAGTCCAGATGACAATCAGGCAATACAGGTCTTGTTATTTACCGTTAAGATCAGGGCTTGGCTGATTAACAGGATAACAGGCAATGTCACTGGCTCTTCAGCTCAGGAGGCCTTGTTCCCCTTCAGCTTGTACAAGCTGATCCTAAATGTTAAGATCCTGTGTGCCCTCAACAGATGATTCCAACCCCTCAAATGCTGAGTACTCATGTTTAATAAAAGTTTCCATTCACCTGAGCCTTGGACAGGAGGCTTTGACCAGAGCCAAATCAGAAGCCTCATTCTAATTTCCATTCTCAAGCTGATGGCTCTTTTCCAAGATCAAAGTATTTTCCCACACAGAGCCCAAGTCTGTCATCCAAATTCAATAAGCACTTTACCTACGTAAGGATTGCACAATAATTTTGTTGGCAATATTAGTGATAGCATGGTGAAGTTACTGGCCTATTGTCCTCAGACCAGTCATTACAGTATTTGCATTGCCACTGAATTACTTTTCAGTAATTAACTGGCTTTTGTAAAATGATTTCATCAAATCAACCATTTTCCAGGGAAAAATTAGAATGAATACCCTGTTACAGAGAGAAATAAACCAAGGCAGAGGAAATCTGAGTACACTGCACAAGGTTAGATGCTACTGCACTCAAAATTAGAACTCAGTTATCTGAAAACCTGATTTGTGCCCTCCCCATTGATATGTTCTGCTTGGGCAAAAAGCATCGAGCCATCCATGTATGTGGAAATTACTATATTTATACCAGGTGCTCTCCTTGCACTGGCACCGTGTCCCACCCAGGTCACCATGCAGTGCTGTGCCTACTCAATGGCTTTTGTTCAGTATGCAGGACAAATGTCTTTCACCTCTCTTCTAGCACTGCTTGCAGGAAGTAAATCTTCATTTGCATGCGAGGTAAACACCCAATAAGTATTAACAATCTTTAAAACAAGACAAATATTTACCCACAACACCCTGCAGATCAGCTATTTTAAACATAAAGCTTGACAATAATTTTGACTGTACATAGTTAACGGCTACTATGAGAAGCTTAAATGGTTTCTGCCTTGAGAGGGAATCACATTTTGTCAGTGACACTCTGTAATATCAACTGCGTGTTCCTCAAAGTACGTCATGTTTTTGTGATAAGGGAGCTTATGTTCAGTTACAGATGTCATTCTATAGAAGAACATAAACTGTTTTACGCACAACGGCATTTCCTTTGACTAAGTTTCTTTCTGACTTCAGTAGCTATAAACTATGATCAAGCTAGGTGTCATGTTAAGTGTGCTTAAGTACTCATCAAAAGTATATGCAAGTTTTATTAATAAAGCTGTATCATTCAGCTTGAAAAAAGTTCTGGGACTAAATGCCACTTTTTGTTCTATTTCTCTCAAGTTTCTTAACACTATGGGTCTGGGCCCTTCATCACCGTCACACACAGTGAATAGTAGTATTGGACAGATGATCACTAATAATAAGATAATTTTGGTACTGACTGAAAATATAACCCATTTCTTGAACAGATCCTTTGATTGCTACCATAAGATCAGACTGACTAATTGCTATGCAGCAGCCACATGCTTTCCCCACTGACAAAGGTTGTTTACATACTTCTCCATCAGCATGAGAAAGCTTGATTTACCTGCATCTCCTCAAAGGTAAAATACAGACAGAACAGCATGACCATCACACACACAGATGCTACTTACATTAAATGAGTTACTGAATGCTACATTAAAGATAGCATTCAGTAACTCAAACCTGGGTGAGAACCACATTAGCTGCAGGGCTACATTTCTTGGGGGAAAGAGTCCCTTCCTCTACAAGTAGCTGAGTACCAGCATCACTGTTGCACCATGCCATCTGGAGAAGTATATATGGGCCAGACTACACCTGTAATGATTCCTCAGTACCAAAATTAAAATGTGCTCTTGTCAGCTTTCAGGAGCTGAGTTGATTGCACTGGTGGTCTCAGATCCAAATTCTACTGAAAAATTACTTTATTTTACACTTTTTACATGCCTGTTGCAGTATTTTCATCATGTGAAGACCGAACTGATTCTTCTTCCTCTCCCCTGTAACCCCAACTGCCATCTCCATTTTTAGGCTGTGACAACATTTACAATGCATGGTCTGCTTTGCTCTTAGAAAAACCACAGATCTTGAACACTGCCATAACACCATCCATGAGGGCAGAATCTTTTGATGCTTAAATGAAACACCTTACTATTAAAAAAGGTACTTTATTCCAAGTTACATACAGTCTCCAAGAAAGGAGGCCAATCTTTCAACTGCATTCTTCAGAAGATTTCACCTGCCTCAGTTGGCCCTTGATAATCCAGTTTCCTACTACATAAAGAACTTACTAGTCTGTTAACTAAAGTCCTGGCAGAGATAATGGCCAATGATTGCTTATAAATCCTTTTCTACAGTGTTTCTTCTAAAGCCTGTGGTTTGTACTATGTTCTTAACAAAATCATAGTACAGCAGTGGCGTGATAAAATAAGGATAACCTGGGCATTCACTCTCAGTAGCCTAAGTTGGCTTAACTGTAATAATTTATTTGAAAGCTATGGGCATCAGTGGCAAATCCAAGTCACATGCAGGTTCAATAAGTAGAATTTAGATTCAGTAATCTCTTGTCAGCCCAAGGCACTTGCTTGGGTACTGCTCAGCTCAGGTAGAGTTTGGTGGAAGTTTTGCCAGAGTTCTGCAAGTCTTTGAAAGAGATAGAAGGATGGACACCCTGCTGCGAACACGCGCTCCTCACATCCCACAGTGAACAGCCGATTTTTTCAGCTCTGCAGATACTCGGCACTCAATTTTGTATGCAGCAATGATGACCCCTAATGGTGGAAGATTTCTTCACTGAGCAATAGGCAGTGATTTTGCTTTTCAATGCATAATTCTACTTAAATTAATTACAACTCCCTCTCGCAGACCATGAGCACAGTATACTGCTTGAGGTTTACTTGAGCTGTAATAGAGAAGCGGCTTCTTTGACTGTTTAATTCTTTCTGGCTTTATTCATGGAGGCATCAAAATGGAAAGGCATATTCCAGATCTAAGTCCAAGATTTAAAATAACCTTTCTTTTTCTGAGGCTGACTATCTTGCAGAAGCAAATTTCAGTCACATTGGTGTGAATAATCCCTGCAGAAAATCTTCATAGAAGAGCATGAGACATTTTTCTCTAGAATCAATCAGCTGTATGTGAGAAAGCAGCATGAACCCAAAAAGCTTCTTTGAAACTTCGTGTCAGCTATCAGGCAATGCTGCAGTTCCAGCACCTTTGATCCCTAATGATCTTTTCATCAGAAATCAAATAATCACTAAAAACAGATTTCTTATTTCCGAAGTCATAATCTGTCATTCTACCATTAATTCAACATTTTAAGTGCATGTAGAGTGAAAAAATGCAGACAATTTTTACATTCTGAAATGCTTAAATGTTTGTTTAGGTTATTTTGGGTGGGTTTTTTGTTGTTTTGTTGTTGTTTTTTTTTTTGTGGTGGTGGTGTTTGTTTCTTTTTTAATCCAAGTACATCTCCAAGTCTTTAACTCTTACCAGAATTTATTTCTACATCTGGACTGAGAAGAGAAGGTGGTTTTAAATTGTGTTACAGATGCCAGGTACATAGAACTTAAGTCTCACTTTTCTCTTGGGAAAGATGAGTATCACCACCTGGCCCATTTTAGCTTGCCTGACACTTGCATCTACAGCAAGATAAAGAACAACGTAACTGTATAAACCCAGGCCTGACCTAAATGTGTCAGTTTTTTCCAGGCTGAGATAAACATACAGCTCTTAAAAGAAAAAAGCTGAGAGTCCCTGGCAGCTTACTGATTTGTTTACTTTCTTTCAACAATATAACACAGAAGTTGTGCTAGATTTCATTCAGTCTACAAAGCACAGAGCCTTCACCTAAATAAACGAAAACCTTGAGAAATTTCCAGACTGCTCAAGAAAAAGTACATTTTCAAACTGTACCTCTTTTTGCACAGTATTAGTAAAGTCACACAATTAAGTACCTACTAGAAAAAAATATACGAAGTCATGCTTCAGAAATGTGTTTTAATGAATCAGCAATTTGTCCTGGACAGTAAGGCATGTAAAATCAATTTCTTAAGAACAGAATCTAGTAACTGAATTTTTCATGACCTTTATGACCATTTTCTGTTGTGTTATTTTCCTTTTCTTTTTCTTACTTTTTTTTTGAACAACAGTAATTACTGTTAATACTTCATCACCCTGGCTTACCTTTCTCACGTCTGAGCTCTTTGGTTCTGTTGTCCAAGTTATAATTCTAGATACAGCAAGTCTTGTCTCACTAGAGTTCACAAAGTCTGTTGGATCCATCTGTCTTGCCAAGGACTCAATATACTTCAGGATAGCAACTTTCACCTGAGAAGTGAAAAGGGACATGGTTAGGCTCAGAAGCTGGCAGAGATGGATTTATCCCACAATAAACAGATACTACTACAGATTGACAAGACTTATGTCACGAGGAAAAAAATCAAAATAGCCCTGTGACATGTCTTTGTGTCGTGTGCTTAAAAATTAAAAGCAATTTTCTACACAGGATAAATTTTGTGTAGTAAGAGCCTGGAACAGTATACAAGAACTGGCTTGAAATACGTATGTCTACTTGTGTATTTGTGTAAACAAATCAGTACCCTACCATGCTGGTTTCACCAGTGATTACTGTTCCAGATGCCAAACCATAGCTTCTGGTATTAACCAAATACATGACAGAGTCCCAGAAGATCCAAAATTTCGAAGATTAAAGAACAGGAGTCATTTGGTATCCTGTACATTCCTGTCCTTGGAAGATAAATGCGTGTGATTTCTAGAGTTTATAGTCTTCCTATAGTCTTGACACAGCAATCTCCTGAAAAACAGTCTGCAAAACAATATCCCTTTGGGAGGATTCAGTAACAGAAAGCTCTGATGTTTTTTTCCTCCAAACCCTGCAAGTGTTATGTCTGATCTGTGCATCAAGCACTTGTGAAGGTGTGCCTAGGGTCCAGCCATTCAGACAACCTGGTCCTTCTGTCCTGCACAGCCAGGTTTTATTCCCACCAAGACCAGGGTGAAGAGGAATCTTCTGTATCCAAACTTAAATACGTCTCAGTGTGCTGAAAGCCCAGCTCTTACACGGTCCTATTTTAAAGATACTTAGATTTATTAAAATGGAGAAGGAGTTAAGTACCAATATAACTTCTGCATCATGCAGGTACTTACAATTAGTCATCATAACATGAATTCTATGCTTTATGATATGCCTGACATGGCAAGCTTAGACAACCTTCTTGATGCTTTATTGAAAAGGCTTTTTTGATACTGACCTTCAGGTTTGGTGTTTGGGTCTGATCTACAATAAACCTCATCAAAATGTTAAATTGTTGATCAAATGGAAAAGAATCCCTGTCAAAGAAAAAAAAAAAAGGCAAAAATGTAATGCAACATAAATTTTCAGGACTAAATTAACTCTATACGTTAAAGTTTGCACAACAGATTTCAACACCTTTAATAATTTTCTCTTTAACTTTCTATCAACCGGAGAAACTCCAAGTCTAAGGATTAGCTGATTACTGACTGAATACCGGAGAAGACTGCTAAATAAATACCTTCATACACCATTACTTTATCTACCCTCTGTACACTTACCCAGCTTTTGGCACATCTGTCCATTCCATCTTCATTTCAGGCTGTGCTTTGTTCCCTTATCTCTAGTAGCAGCCTGGTGTTTATCCTGTCCTCAGAATTCATACCTAGTTTTGATTGCTCTCCTCTATTTCCCTACTCTATCATATTTTCCCCTGGATTACTTTTTTTTTTTTTTTTAAATTATCCTGTTTCCAGGATTAGCTGAACTTTATTGTAACAGTGTCCTGTGCTGGACATCCTTAGAAAGGACACTGACTACAGAACTGGTGTGCACATTGAAGCAGCATTCAAGGTCTTATCCTGACATTACCCTTGCTGTTTGAACAGTATGAAAGATGCTCTGAACTTTCTGGTAAATATGAATAGTGCAAATATTCTCCTCCATCAATCAAAACCAAAACTGATATCTAAGCACATGCACATCAAAACAAACCACAAATTAGCAATATCAGTTTTAAATGTTATGCTTTACAGTTACCTATTTAGAAAAGGGACAGGCCTTTCTAATTCAATGCCTGAAATACTGTACCTAACTTTGGTCTCCTTTATTTTGGTATTCATCAAGATTAAGCCCTCAAAACATACAGCACTACTGTGTTTCTAAAATGTTCAGATGCCCTTCTGTAATCCTGCAAAAACCTCCATAGTATTTGCCATCTAATACTCTACCTGGTGACATCCAGAGCTTTTTGAACTTTCGCCTGCACAGACCCCAGCAAATCTGCTCCCATTTTCTTTAGCAACTGTGTCAGGAGAACAAAAAGCCAATCCTGCAAGTCATCTTTATGAATGATGATGAAATCAACCAGGGTTTCCAGAAACATGCTAAAGACCTATAAACAAAACAGGTGTCACAAAAAGGAACACAGTGCTTTAAATAAAAATAATCAAGGGGAGGGCTGGGTTTCAGGATGATTTTGTTATAGACAGTTCCATGAATGAATGATTTTAGTGACTATATGGCTGGGGGAAAAAAATGAAAAAAAAAAGTAAAAATAAGACAAGACACGTCTAAAACGTGTCGTATTAAAATACCACATGAAACAAATGAAGGAAGGGGGTAGAATACACTTACTCTCTGTTGTGAATTCCACGGCAAAGCAGGCCATGCAACAAAACAAACCACTCGTTAGCACACACAGTGATCAAGGCTAGTTGTCCAGATGCAGTTTGCAAACAGATAAAGGATGCATTCACTGGAATTTTACATGTTCTTGAATCCCTTCTCAGAGTTACTTAAAACATTATATACCTTGTATTAGATCCAGGCTCAGTCATGAAAGTAAGATTTATATATGCTTATATGTAAAAATCTGCGTATGTTTAACACCACAACTAATATGTTTGTAGCAATAATTCTACAGAAGCAATGCAGGTGACAGATCACCGCAAAGGACATAACTTTGAGTCCAGTGTGTAATAAACCCCCACGTTACACAGGAATTGGAACTATTTTGCAAAGATCCACACCTTCACCCTTTCCACAACACAAACTGAACCTTTGAGAACCAAAACATTAAGGCCTTACAAGGTAGGAACTGCCACACTCAGCAAGGCCTGTGGGACAGCTGATCGGGACTATGGCCAAAAATTCACAGTTGGAGCAAGACCTTCCTGTGACAGGCAACTGGTGCCTGTCCGTGGCATTTCCACCATCAACTGGTTATTTAAACTGGTTTACCAAGTAGTCTGAAATACAAATATTTGTACAACTTATGCTTTCTCAAACTGTATTTAACCTAACAGCAGATGTTTTTACTCAGCCACTACTGGTTGCCTTCAACCAGCAAACCTCCTCGGGACAGGGCATGAAACTCTCTTTTCCCCTCTCCCTGCTCCCACTTATCTGCTGACAGAAGGCCACTGGGTCTGAATGTGTCTGTGGGTCCAACATCCCCATTCCCTACCCTGCTGCTTTTTAAGAGATGTTTGTATGTTTATGCACTGGCCTTTAACTTCAAAGGTCAGTTCTATAAAGAAGGCAAAATAGCTATATTAAGGACTTTAATTACAAGATCCAGAACAGCATCTTGGTGAGACCCCATACTGCTCCCAGGCGTACACAATATACAAACCCCAGTGATCGTGATGCTGAACTCCAGTTATTACCTTCACAGACCTCAATCTTGGTGTGTATTACCAAGACACTCTCTAGAGAACTACAGGTAAAACTGAACTTCTCACCCCGGGAGCTGACATGGGAGAGCTGCTCCTCAGGAAGCAAGCAGTAACCAGTTCCTAGCAACATGAGAGACTGAGACACATCCCCTCGTTGTAAAACATAAAAATTAAGGAGACTTATAAACATCCACTTCCCCAGCAGATCACAGTTACAGAAATATGGACCACTCATCTTGGAACAGTGTCAAATGTGCACACACAGTAACGTAAGAGAAAAAGCCAAATCTTTGTGATCATACCTTGCTGTGAGGGTCAGCAAACATGCGAGTAAATATTTCACATAGTCTTTTCAACTCAACTCGGCTGAAATAAATAGAACACAGTATTAATGATAAAGCTTCAGTTGCAGAAAAAAAATGATAAATACTAACAGTTGAAAGATCTAACCTTCTTTATTTAATGATACTTAAGTCACACTTTCAAAAACTGTATCTAGGCAAAGCCTTAACTGGCATTCCAGTTTAACTGCTGGGATAACCAGTCTTATATTAAGAAATCTAATACATTTAATTTTTTTTTTAATCATAAGCCAGACACTTGTATTTTCTCCTACTTTAACCTATTCCCATGTTCTGGATTGCAAAATACAACTTGAAATGCGCGCATTTGGGAAGTATTTATTTTCTGCCTTTCTTTAAGGTCAGTGACTCACTGAAACATGGATCTTTTGCAGCCAAGGTTTCTCAAGTCTCTTGTGTCAAGGAATTCAAATTTTCAAGTAAAATCAGAACTTTCATGCTGTTTGGGTATATACTAATCATAAATATTTTGGTCTAAATTTTCAGTCGCTTCAGTAAAATCGACTGAAAATTTAGTCGATTTTACTGAAGCGATATTAACAAATATCGCAATATTAACAAATATCAGAACTGACTCCGAAGTCTGACAGCAGGCACATGAAGTAGACAAATATACAGAAATACAAAACAGATTAACAAGTGGGAAACCCAGTAGGTCAGAAGATAATTAAATCAAAGCACAATCCAGGTTCCTATTAGTAAGATTATTCGGTGTCAGTAACACTCTTTTTATGCCACGGGCAAGAAGAATGATGTATGAGTCCCTTTCATAAGATACTGAGTTTGAGTCAAATGCAGAACTGTTTGATTCCAAAGCCCTTATTTACAATGTATTGAAAATACAAGTCTTAGTTTTCCTGCAAGGCAAACTGCCAAAGAATGCAGAAATTTTGTTTGTTTACTGTGCACCCAAACTCAGGTAGGTAATGTTTCCTGCTTACTATGTATGCAATTAGATATTTTCTACCATTACTATGAAACCAGAGCAGCTATTGAAATGCACGTGGATTACTCAGAAAACAACCATTCAGGTCTTAACTACAGGTACTCTCTTTCCAGAAAGACATTAATTCTACAGTCCACCAACATATCTCTCCCTCTCTCAAAATAAGCTTCAAATAACAGACCAGAATATGCGATTAGTCTACAGCTTCTTTTACCTTAACTTGTTTATAAGTAATACAAGACATTTTTAAAAAAAAAACTTATGCATTAAAGGCCAACCAAATTTTAAAAGGGGACAAACCAAATGGCTTGATGTAAAGGAAAGTCTCTGTAACAACGTCACAGCAAGCCGTCAACTTCATTCAGGGTGAGACTGCACAGTCCCAAAATTACAACAGTGCTCCCTTGAATTGCAGACTGCAGCTCTCTGAACAAACCCTTAGTTATTATACTAACGAATTTTCCTTCTGGGCACAGGTTACATGATTGAGCAAGTTTAAGTGTGTCTCTCTTTAAAAGCTGAAGGACCCAAGGTAACAATGCAAGTACTAAACAGAAACAAGCAGTGGAAAAACATTTCCTTAAGGGACTTGTTGGCCTTGTTTTATTTAGAAGACCTTATGGGGAGCACTTAAAGAGAACTAGGCCACATGAAACTATAAGAATCAAAAAGGGTAGGTAAGCGCCACACCACTCTGCATGCACATCTTTCTGGATATGCAAATCCCAGGTAATGTAAGATCAACCATCTTTCAGTTCAGAGCACTAAAGGAAACCTAGCCACATCTCTGCCTTTTATAAAACTCGTTATACCACAACAGAAGATATCAGGTTTATTTAGAAGACAGACTTGCCCCTTGGACTAATGACCTTGATGATGATCTGCAAGACGCCCGTGGGAACAAACAGGATGATAAAATCTAATCATTAGAACAGGCACCAGATCAACCCTGAACCAAGGAGGAAGCAGACCAAAGGCAAACCAAAATGAAATATAATCTAGAGAACTAAAACCAGTTTCAAATTAAAAAATAACCCTGCAGAGGTGTAGTTTCTGTGACAGGTTTATAAACTATTCAGAATCAAAGCTAAGAAAACTTGCAAGCTTGAGGGACTAGTGACAGCAGTATAGTTTAAACAGTGCAGCCAGCAGGGTTGAAAACAATTCTACCAGCATTTCTGCTAAGAGCTACAGATCTGGATAAACAGCCCATCACCCATACTTCTCAGCATTTCCTCTCTTGGAAAAGCAGCACTCAAACCCTTTGTTATAAATTCTCACACACCTTTGTGGCAAAATCAAAGTCTCACCCAACCATATGAGGTGCCAGCTTTCTCCAGACAGTTCAAAACAAAGAAAGGGGGGGTGGGGGGAGAAAAAAAAAGAGGCAGCACACATGAAGGAAGCGTCTTTTTTAAAAGACTCATAAATAGACAACATTAAAAAGCTTCTCTGATGTAGGGAGTCTAACTACCCATATTAAAAACCTGTAGCACTTCCCACTTAAGGACTATACCACGTCATGTAAAGTTCTAGAATATTTTTATGATAGCAAAAGAATAACCTTTCCATGCCTGCTCTCCATACATTTCCTTCAGCCTGTTAACATGAGCCATCAAGTATTTTCAGCCAGTGTAAAGGCCTTTTAAAATGGAAAGAATTGTGTAAATCCAAGTAGGTATCTATAAACCATACAACCACCACTTATAAACTTGGTCATAATCTAAGTACATCATATTCATAACAGGAAAATAAAGTGTCAGAGCTCTTGTGAATGTTATCTTCAAAGGAGTCAAAAGATAATCAACTTGTTTCCAAACACTTTCACCATAAACTAAGGGCAAAAACCTATGGCCTGAGATCCAGCTGTGGCCATACAAAGTTTCCATATAACTACTGGGTAGTTCTAAGATCTGCTGTAGTGTGTGACATGCCAAAGGTGTTGGAAGGGTTTATGTGTCTTTCAACAAAGGAAAAAGGTCTCTCTCCTACCACAAGCAAATTTTAAGAGTACACCTATTTCACTGCCCTAAGAAATTTCTCTCTACAAACTACACCATTTATGGAAGCCTCAAATATCTAAGATCTTTCAAGAGTTATAAGTAATATCTGTAATTACATCTGACAGACTTCATAAGGAGTCAAAGTATACGCACCATAAGCATTGTCTGATCTCAGCTTTGAAACACACACACATTTTAGAGTAAATGCAGTGAGTGTTCGCTTTGCCAACTGAATTGCTGGGAGAAAAACTGAAGGTTCAGACTAATGTAAATGCATTCAAAGGGTGGTACTGCTTTTACAATACCATCATTGTGGGAAATGTCACTGTGCTGCAACAAGCACCTACCACTGGAAGCCTTCACGAAACAGAGGAAGGCTAAGAGAAGACAGCATGCTTAACTGAGTCCTTTCTACATTACTGCTACAAATTTAACACAAATTACACTGATGACATAGCAGAACTTTTTCCAAAAGTCCCAAATTGTGGTGACAAAGCCTTCATAGCTGTGAAAGATACTATCTGTCTCCATAAGGCAGGTACATATTACTGACATCTGACTATAGCCATCTTTCATGAATGGCTGAATTACAAAATCAAGGTCACCTCAGTGTCCGCTGACTTTTCAGTAAGTTCTGAAGACCTATGAGCCCCTCTTTCCTTTCAGACCAGTTGGAGCTGGCACAGTGGTTCAGAACCTCAGCCACATCTTCAGTCTGCCGCAGGTAGTGTGGAATGCCCCCATTTCTGGAACCATAGGAGCGCTCTGAGCAAGCACTTGATGCATCACTGTTAGCATCATCATCGGAGTACATCCCATAGGGTTCATATCTTCTTCTCACTGTTTTTTTCTGGAAACAGGGAAATTCAGACTTAGGAAGTTATATATAGTTACATCAGTGCCAAAAGAAATACATTCTATCCATAATCACTAAAACAAAGACTATTCACTACTGCTACAGTGATGTGTTTTACAGACATCACCAAGCACTGCCTGCTTACCTTTCACAGTAGAGCAAGACAGATCCCACTGATTTCAATGAGACTATTCAAGTGACTAAGGGGAGCAGGGCTTGACTTCCCCAGCATGAAAGCTAGATATTTATGCCTAGCGAAATTAGCTACTGGTAATCATATGTTGTTTTATTGTCAATAACAGTCAGTTCCACTGTTACAGATTCTATGACGATACAAACTCTACTTCAAGAAAAAAATGAACAGATGAAATAATCTGTGCTGACATGCACAGTCACTTTGATATTGATAATAAAGTGGCTCTAGAAATGCACTGGGATACAGGAGATGACAATTTCTCTGTTAGTCTGGGCTAGGAATTTTCCAGAGGCTGCTATGGGAGTTGAGTACTCAAATCACACTCATTTCCATAGCATGGCATTAGAGGACCTGATTCCCTTAGGTACCATCTTTGACAACCTCGATTCTTATAGAAGAGATATTAAAATATTATAGTAGCAAAACAAATTGTGTGCTATACTACATAACAAAATCTTATATGAACCTTAACAGAACAGGACTGATATATATAGAATATAGACTCTCGTTTATCTGAAAGTGTTTGCTACAAGAATTCCTTCCAGCATGAAGTCCTGCAGCTCTTGGACTTGTGAAGCCAGCAGAATTTTGCTTCCACTAGGACTGCAGGTTTGAAGTGTGGAAATTAACACAAATGCAGTATCATGGGTGTTAGCAACAGGGTGGGTAAAGTTGGAAAGTAGAAATAAAAAGTCAAGAAAGCACTAGTACCTTGCTCCTGGAGTCTCCTAACAGCTGTAGGCAGGAAAATATTGAAGGGTGGGAAAAAGCATAGAGAATTATGTCAGAAGCTTATGTAGGGTTTGGTTTTGCAACAAAAACGTATAGCAAATGTGTCTTAGCAAATTAAAATACAGTATATGCAAAATAAAAGTGGGTATAATAACGCCTGCGTTTATCTCCAAACTGTTGCTTTACCCTTATAGCCTACAATTTCCATTAGGGAGCCTGGAAGTGAGATTATATGTTAATAGGGTTTTTGATGTAGATCTATATACAGCAACTCTCTGCTTACCTTTTAGAAATGCTGCTCTGTGAGATACCAAAGTTTTTCATAATGATTTATATCCCCATATATTATCAGTAGCATTTGATTTTTAGAGTCTTGGAAAGAAATTCTGATGTCAGGAAACCACTATCTACAGTGCACCACATTTAATCAGCTTCACTTGATCAAGTTCTCTCTCAACCCACAGTTCTTACACCACATTTTTTTTTTGAAGCTCAGCTTCTTTCAAGACACACTGACTGTCATCCCTGGCTTAAAGGCCTTATTTAATAGCAGAGTTTCCATCACCCTTTGAGCTCTTCTGACAGATCCAAGCACTGATTCTCAGTACAGACACTGCAGGTTTACCCCAAGTCCAGCTCTCGAGACAGACTGGATCCAATGGGAACTGTACATGGAGAGTAGAGGTCACAAAATGACCCACTGTGTTCTACTTAAACTGAATATTTGGCTGAAGCCATCTCTGGAGAAGTTATTTTCATTTCTTACTACAGAGAAAATAATGCTTCTCTGAAAACAAGACTGCTGGGTAAGAGCTGGCATCACTTCACTCTCTCAAAAGAAGCCTAAGGAGCATTTGTAAATTGCCTGTTGTGAGAAGAGCAAATTAGGGAAAGAAAGGAACAATAAGATCATGTTGCATCCCCTAAAGCCATACGAATTCAGATTGATCAACCAAGTCAGCAGCTTAGTATCCAGCTAGACTTAAGGATTTCCCTTTGAAGTGTTCAACCCTTTCAGATTTTAACATTCCAGTATAATGTCTTTTTTGTTTAAAAGAGTGGAATATTTAAAAGGGAACAGTAAGTCTACTTGAATATTAAGTTACACTAAAGAGAGATGAGTGATCAGCAGTGAATTGAAACACTGTGACCCCCTCCTCCAAGAAACCTGTACTGAGCAGCTGCTCACATTCAGGGACATAGCCTGATTTAATTTACACAGGCAAGCCATCATCTATAATTATGCCTTGAACTGCTCCGGTGGCAAATTCGAGGTGCCGAGAGCAGAAATTTGTTCACATGCTGTTACGTCTGGTAATGAAAATGCCCACTAATGATTCAGCCCACTAAATGCAACACTGTCATCTATCATATACTGTCCTACCTATATATTAGTCACATATCCTTTTCTTTTGAATGGCAGATTTTGGAAAAAAGTGATGTTTGTCTAAGAGTACTCTAATAATTGTCTAGAAATGGGGGTGACATGAGCTGGGTGATAATCGAATATAAAAAGGAAAATGTTCGCCATCCTTAGGGAAAGTGAACTAGGAAATGGAGAAAGGACACCTATCACAAACTCTGGGGATGTGGTTCATTCTCCATAGAGATCTGAGATATCTGTCTCAAGACACATTTGGAAGTCCTCCCATCAGGTCTTGAGCTGGAGAAGACCCAAGGTATACTGGTACCCAGCTAATGCTGTACAATAATTGCTCCTGCCTATACACATCCTCTCTACCCCAAATACTGAAGGTAGATCCACAGGCTTAACACTTGTCTTCTGAAGAGCAGAAAACACTTTCTGGGTTCTAGCTGAGAGATGTTATAATATAGTAAGATTGTACAGGACAGTAATTTTTTTTTAAATTACAATGAATTTACTTGGAAATGTACTGAATGTTTAAAAGTACTAGCAGCAAACTTGACAAATTACTTCAATTTAACTGCATGAGATGGTACTGATTACAGGCAAGCCAAGTTACAAGCTGATTCAAGTATCTACACAGGTGCAAATAACACAGGGCAGGAACTTGTGAAATTCTTAGTTATTTCTAAACCAGATAAGGAATCAACACTAATAGAGAACACTTTTTCTGACATAGTCTTCATATAGGTAACAGGACTGATGGAAATCCCTGATCCCGCAGGTGCTGAGCACCCCCACAGTGCCACATACATCATTTAACAGCCAAGTGAAAGACTAACAGCTGATTCAACCCATCCTGCAGCTCTAGCACCAAGCCACAGTTTGACAACAACTGTGGAGAATTAACATGAAATAAGGAAACAAACATTGCTGCCAATATACCTAAAGGCAAAACAGCAAAAGATAACTAACTCTACAGCATCAGACACCGGCACAATCAGAACAAAGCTATTTAGAAAGAGGAGAACATACGTACAGGTAACTTTAAGCCACTTTCCGGTGTTGGAAGCATTTTGTATTTTTCCTCTTACCAGTGCATCGGCCACAGCAGCCTCCAGATCTGTGCTTGTGCTCAGGACTCGCAGGGCATTCACAGAAGCAGGCATCCTGCCTGGCTGTCCGAGTCCAAACCGGTCTGCACAAAAGACAACATTGAAAAGGGTTGTTAAATGAATTCACATTCACTTGGAATCCTAATCAGGTGCCGAGCAGCTTTCCCCACAGGCTCTGGGAACTTGCAGTGCTTTTCCATTAAACACACTTTTATCCACAGCTCTAGAAAGCTTGCCATTAGAGTAAGAAATCAACTATTGTTTGCTGGGCCCCAGAGATAATTTTGGATCCTCAGGGCAGCTTCTTTGGTTTATTTTTTTATGCTGGGAAGCAGAATGTCTACTCTCTTTCTTTTTTAACACAGAAGTTGTTTCCAAGTTTTATTTTAAAGTCAGAGGCAGACACACCAGTCCCAATCTGGCACACTCGGGAATCAAGAGAAAGCTTCTCATTAACTTTAGAGAGACAGAATTGTGGCCAGTGTCAGAACATGTTAATACCTGAGCATTCATCTACCCTGCAGCTTTTTCTCAGGCAAGGATGTAAGATTAGTAGCACCAGATTGCCTATCTTATTTCTCAAGGCTTGATTAATCAGTAGAATATCCCCCTAGGCACCATGGTATAAAAATAAGGTTTATTATATGCTTGTGAAGTGCCTCCAATTTTTATGTTGTTCTTGATAAGCATTTTAAATGCCATTTAAAAGCTCTATGATAATCAAAATAGATTTTTTTTGATCAAACAATATCAATCTTTCTCTCTTGAAATTTGATGGCAAAGCACTCAGTGGCATCTGAAGCAAGAGGACTGAGTCTAAAATGTCATTTACACTCTTCATAATAATTAGTTTATCATTTGCAAAGTTACTGAAATCAGTTTCTTTGGGCAAAGGCCAAATTTGGAAAGGCATGCTAGCAGGAATATGACAGAATCTGTGACCTGAGGACCACAGGCCAGGCTCTGACAGAACAGTCCTCCTAGAAGGGCTCTGGATTATAAGCAAAGAGAAATTGGTTTTGGCATTCCAAGATTTTGTTTCCACATGGGCCTGTCTTTTCTCAAGAAGGACTAGGAACATCCCTTCTGGGACACACCTTACGCCTCTGGCCCCTGCACCCACACATGCCACTAATAGTATTGCCAGCAAATTCAGTGTTGTGCAAATCAAGCTGCATGAACCCATTTAACAGACCTTCAGCTGATCCACATTGGAGGCAAACATCAAGCAGCAAGATAGAGGGATCAAGTCACAGAGGTCTTTTATTAGTTCATCTATATTTAATTTAATTAAGGAAAACCACTGCTTATCAAAATGCCTAACTGCAATATGGACTGAGGTCAAACATGATCTGCAGCATCTTACTGTATTTTTCAGGAAAAACACTGTGCTTATCACGGAACTTTGCTTTCTTCTTTATAAACCTACTGCGCTTAAACAGATTTTAAGGAGTTAGTTCACACTGATATGCATAATTTAAATCGGAGAATGAAGTTTGCCAGTCTACTGTCCTAATTCCAAAGCCTTACCCAAATGTTTCAGAGATTAAACTCCCAAGGGGATATTTTTTTAAATCTGAAGTATTGAGGAAAAACAACCCTGAAGATTAGTATTTAATTCAGAGAGAAGTGTTATCTATCAAAATTTACTGTTTCTCAGAGTTACGTACCCAGACAAGACATTTCTGATTTACAACAAAAGCACACCTTCTACAAAACACATTACAAAGAAAACAAAAAACAAAACAAGAACAATCTTAGAACTACTGCCAAAAAGTAATCAAATCATGACATTTCACAAAGAAATAAAAGTTTTATGTGTTATTACTATCCCCTTTTTTAATGCACTTGGGTTGAAGAATCATTTCAAATATTTAGCTTAAACAGTACTTCATCCTTAAAATGGAAAGGTGAGCACACTTCAAATAGCAGCAAAGAAGACGATAGTGCATTAGGTCTGATTGAAACTAAAGTCACTACTACAGAGATGTACAGAAGGCAAGTTTTTTTCCCAATTGTAAAAGATATTTGGTACAGTACAAGGGCTGTAAATGTTAAGTTCTGGACTCAGTTTCATATTTAAACTCTACTCAATGACATTACTCAAGTTTACTCCAATCAGATTTTGGATTTAACTTTTGAAATAACATCAAAAAAAAAATTGTCATTTGTTTTCACGTAAATTTAGTATTACATTAGAAAAGGGGAGATTGTTTGGGTTTTTTTAAATGAAGAACAGAATGACAAAGTAATTCAGTTGTAAATCAATTAAACACCCAGCATGAAGAAACAAATTTGAGCTTTTTTTAACAAAAAAGGTAAGTTTGGCACGCTGGCTTTTATCTGTCTCCATGGCTATCGGTAATTTTCTGAAATACTTCTTTCAGTGACTTTTAATTCATAACACCCAAGTCACTCAGGGCTTCTGCCCAAGACACTGCTGCCATACCTGTGTGCAGAATTTAGACCTTAGGACAGACCTCAGCATATTCCTACACGGGGCTTGGAACACATTTGGCTCTTTTCTTGCTCAATGTTACAGGACAAGAAATAAATAGAATATACTCTGGCCAAATTCCCAGAATATACATGGCCACATGTCTCCCCAGCTAGATTCATGGCACTTGTTATAAACTTGATGAAAATTTGCAATCACCATTTTTGGCCCGATTTTGCCATTTCTAGGGAGATTTTGACACAGGCAAGCATATAGAATTTGACTATGCTTTGCACCAAAGCACAGAAGTCAAGCATTAAATGATTATCACAGGAAGTTGAACGCAAACAAAGCTTAAATCTGTATTACAGTTTGAGGTATTTGAAAAGTTTTCAGTTATTTTTGTTAAATACAAATTTGGCTTGTTACTTTGAAAAATGCCAGTCAAATCAGCTCGCATCATTTCTGCTGAGCAACTTGATACGGGAAATGTTTTGAGAGTTCTAGTTAAGTGACAGCCATTTAACTAGACTTATGAGAAACAGTATTTTTCACTCCGTACCTGAAGGGTATTAATAACTTCCAGTATCACTAAATCTTTATACAATTTCAGCCTCCAAGAAAACACTGAAGCCCTCATCTTCTACATCATCTTTCTCCCCACAATTACATCTTATTGTCCCAAAGCTAGCAGCCCTCATTCATTTCTAAGACTTTCAGTGAAATATCCTGATTCAAAAGGGAGTTACAGGTTCTCTGTAACTGTGACTCCAGCACAGGAAGGGGGAAAAAGCAACTGGAATCTGCAGATTTTTCTCATTATATGTAAGCATTTGTCTCCTGATGCCAAAGCCCAGTGAAATTACAGGAATAATGTTTTCAACAACTTCAGTATGCTTTGGACAGGGCCTTCAGATTTATATGAAGGATGGATCAACTTGTGTATGCTCCAAAGTTCATTTTGAAAGCTCATGAGGTGCTTAATTCCTGTTGTTCTTGTGTGAGAGGATCCCACAAATACTTTCATTAACAGAGACAGGAGTCCAGAATATTTAGTAATAAATGGGATGAAACCCACTGCGATTCGGTCCTAGGCATTGGGAACTGCACCACTGCTAAAGAGGAAATAGAAATTGGAAGTTCTCTGCATCAGTCAGGATTTACCCCATGCTGCACAACTGATCCAATTTACGGGAAAATTGAGAAAGCCCTGGATCACCCTTTGTTTAAACGCTGTTCACAATGTTCCTCAAGTACATAAAATTAAGAACATCCAATAACTGAAATTCAAACCAAAAAGCCACGTTGAACAAAAACGGAACAGAAAGCCCCACAGCGATGAGAAGCACATGCCAAGTGCTAGCTGATGCACGTGATGGCAAATGTTAAGATGGTGTAAAACAAGACTACGTATAAGAAGCGGATTCATGCAGTTAGCGCTTGTTCACCTGACTGCCCAACAGAATCAGCAGTGGAGAGAGCACTAGTGGACCTGGAATGACGTCGAGAAGCTGCAAGTAGAAGGAATGGCAACACCCACAGGATTAACACACATTTAACCCGAGACAGAAAATGCCACAATCCAAAGGGGATGCGAGACCGCTACCGGTAAAGGTATTTCATAGTGACAGGGAAATGATGCTGTATATGAATGCATAACAGATACGGTGCAAGCCCCACAGCAACACCTCCATCTGTAGCTTCTCCCTTATCCCCCCTGACTGTAAACACAATGCATGACAAAACTCATCTGTAACAGTCCCAAACCCAGTGCAGTTCAGCAAAAAAACCCCAGTGCACATCAGTCACATTCCAGAACCACAGATCTGGAAGACAGCTATCGTGAGAACATGGAGCACATAATTACAGAGCAGGATTTAGATGTGTCTTAATCTAAACCCTGAAGTGAAGCCATGATGAATGCATAAGAATTGTGCTTGCAGATATTTTTCCACAACATTCTAGCCTATACATAAAAAAGCAATGTTAACAAAGAGAATGAATAACCACATAAGTAGAAAGAGTCATACAGGGAGGTCAGCCAACCACTGCCTATAGGTCCTTGGGTTGGGTTTCCTTTCCAAGTAAACACATGTACACACGTATCATAGCTGTTGCTACTACCAAAAGTCTCTTGCTTTTAACAAACTTTGCATACATGTTTCTTGAATCTAAGTATGTACATGCACAGATAATCTGAATTGCAAGACTGTACACCTACCTAGAATTACACCACATGTATACAAATTGTTAACAGCAACAGAACACATACAGTAGCAGAAGAGCTGAAGCCAAACACAGTTCCCACTTCAATTCCCAGTTGTCAGCAGCACATAAATCACAAATTGCCTTTGGAGAGGTTTTCAGTTCATGGAATCAGCAAAAAGGTGAGTCTTTCATGAAAGCAAATGGAAAACTGGTTCAGTCATTTCCAAATTACAGAAATCTAGTTTTTCTAAAGAGGCTTTCCCTGTGTCTAGCAATGACATGCTCACCTAGCTCAAAGCAACTGACCCAAGCAACTGATTGCCCATTTGAGCAATTCATCACCCCTCAGGGCCTTACTACTTTAACACCTAGTATTGTCAAGAAACTGAAAAAAATAAAGCAGAATCATCTTCTAATACAAACAGGCTTTGTCAATTATGCATATATGTGTGCAGCAGAAAAAAAGAAATAAGTCTTCTGTTCAAGGCAAAGCATTCATAAACACAGATGCTAACATTATAAAACAGGAATCAGCAAAGTGAGAAAAATACAATTTCATTTTTTCCCAGTTGTGAGAGCTTGACTAGAAGCTGTACAGAATATGCAATGTGGTCTTTAACCATGGAGAACACATGCATTTATTCAAGAGAACAATTCACCGACACCATAAATAACTCATGAAAGATTTGCAGGATCAGTGCAGGATCATGGACTGAACCTCACAATTAAGATTCTGAGCTCGCAATTGCTTTCTCTCAAGCCATCCGCTGTGCCCCTGTGGACGTCACTGTAAGATCAAGGCCCATGAAGAAACAGGAACAACAAAAACAAAACAAGAAAAAAAAAAAAAAAAATCACATCTCTGCAAGGAGGCCATGTGTAGAGTGACTTTTCACTGGTGTTTCCTAACTGATGAAGCCAGAAACTTGGTGCACAGACATGCATACCTGCACAGCAGCCCCAGAATAAAGCAAGGTCAGGATATCAGTGTTGACACTGACCATGATACTGTTAAGTGCAAGAATCCTGTTGTTTACACATAGTTAGCTTAGGTATAATTCCCTAATATAGAAGTTAAACTTTATGCACAAAAATAGACCATGCATAGTAGGATTATATTATCTTAGAATTAATGTAAGATTAACTGAGTTCTAGAAATACTATAATAGAGTAATACAGTTTTGGCTTAAATTAACAATATAAATTTCCTTCAGATGAAGTACACACTACATAATTAAAAAGTTCATGAACATATTTGAGCTTAAAGCATTTCAATGAAAAAAAAGACAATATGATAACAACCATATTGGGTTACTATTGCATTGATACTACTTCCCCCTGTTACCTTAATGACTTAATAACAATGTATTTCTAGAAATGTATTAATCTTCAGACAATTAAATATAGTGAGCCAAAATAATGTTTGTTAGGAACAGTGTAACACACATCTGTAACTGAAATCATACAGTCAGTGTATGAGTCAGACTCAGTAAAGATGGTGGCATTCAAAATTCACTAACTGTGATTCTGGTATTTTTCAGAACAAGGGCTCAAGATAGTATTTCAAGTAATGTATTTTCAATAAAATGAACAAAACAGCACAATGACATAGAACACTGATGAATTAACCCTGATTATACACATTGGCTGGAGAAAAAAGCTTCATCCAATCTTGAAGCTAGGAAGTGAACTATAAAAACGAGATGCAATTGTGCATCTACTATCCATTTATGGTTCTGGTATCAAATCAGCTTCATTTAATCAATTAAAAAAGTTCACCTATTTCAAGATGAACTCCTCCCATTTTCCACCCAAAATTGAGATATGACAAATAATACAAACAGATTATTTAATAGCTCAAAAGAATGAAGTTTTGAAACCAAAAGCCTCTTAATATTAACTTGAAGAATCCACTCTACACCATTTACACCAACAGGATTTTGACCAATGATTTCATATGGATGAAGGCAACCAGCCTCTGCATTTGATAGCCAAATCAAAAATGATAATATCTACATAAGTTTAAAGGATTATTTAAAGTACAATATATTAAATATGAGAAGCAAACAGAAAAAATTTGCCCATCTGTCTATATTTTTCATCATTTTTTTCCCTAATTGGATAAAGTTGCAGAATTAAGCCCAAAAATTCTATGCTCCATTTACACAATACCTGTATTTTGTTACTATGTGTAAAACAGATCCTGTAATACCACTCTTCAGCCTTAATGAAATCTGTAGGAGCTTCTTTCACATTTTTAATACCACATGCACAGCTGTGAAATTACTACATAAATGAGGAGTGCCTGGAGATCAACTGTATTTCATGTCTGAGATGACATGATGACTTGTTCATACAACAAGTAATGTATTTGGTTGAATATATGATATGGTATTTGATCAGAAACATTAACTATCCTTCTGCTTTCAGCACTGTGCAGAAAAACTTCTGCATGTGGTAAGCATAATGAGATTTTCTATTTGTACTGTACACTTAAACTGCATATCAATTATTCTCCTTTAAAACCTCAGCCTTTCCAGGATTTTAGGCTGCTTGAAAAAGTTTCCTACAAAATGGTGCGTGCAACTTTTTAACTGATGATTGACAACACTGTGTGAAACAACTACAAAAAAAAAAGAGCTATCTCTATTGGAGGATTTAGTATAGAAATGATATACTGTTACTGTACCAGCTGTGAGAAAATCAGATCATGAATAATCAGTCACCCAACAACAGGCTACAACACTATAGACTGCTTCACTGTGACCTAGAAAACAGAGGCTTGCTCTCCTGTAGATTTCCATCAGTGTTGTCAAGTTAAGCACAGCAGCCCCATATGACCTGTTTTAATAAAACTAAAACTTACAGAAGTTCAAACTAAACTATTTTCCTGCTAACAGTGAAAAGCCAAGAACCAGAATTGAAGCATGCAGAAGAAAACAGAAGGGAAGCAGGGTTGGAAACAGCGACTGTGTCAGAAATCCAACAGAGGACAGGGAACAAGCTCATTCCACCTGGCAGTGTCTTGAAGGGGTAATCACAACAAGGGAAAAAGGAAATAAATATTGACCCTTAAAGCTCCAATGCCTACATGTACTCACCAAGTGGAGGAAAGCCCCGAGCAGGGCTTGTATCTCGACTGCTCTCACGGCTGGTATCACGACTGCACCCCTGACTCATGCTGGGTCGGGGGATACGACTGCTCCGTGCTAGCATGCAGCATGGAGAGTTTCAGAGAAGGTGAACAAGTTTAATGAGGACAGAAAGCTCAAAGTCAAGTTACATTTCTGTTAGTTACGGTAATTATCACATTAGTAATTATAATTTGCAGCAGCCCACTCAGGCTCTTTACAAACCAACTACCTTAACATGCTGAGCTGTGTTTGTGATGTGAAATTGCAGCAGCATTAAATGTCTGGTTGACAGTCTGCTTTTTTCTTAAGCAATCCAAGTTCTGTTATTCAAGTAGAGCAGGAATTCTGAATCACTATGGGGAGCTCTACTTTTACAAAACATGCAAAACAGGTGAGGCTAAAAGAAACCCTTCTGGAGTATTTTTTCTGTAATTATAAGAGAAACAGACTCTGGAACAAACCAGCAAGTCAAAATTTTCAAAAGCAGTCTTTCAAGACTAATATGCTCTTTTTACATAGATTTGCCTTTCATAAGGGAAGTTTTGCCATGAATAAATACCCTAAAGAAAGAAGGTGTATTGCACAGACTTGCAAAGATATTTTTCTCCAATGAAAGATACTGGGAAAAAAAAGAGTTAGAACCTGAATACCTGAAAGACAGGTTAAAAGGTGTTTGAATTTTAAGACAGCAGCAGCTTCAGATCTTTTACAAAAACTAACTTCTACTCCTCAAACATTTCTAAAACCTTGTATTTATGGTTTTATATGCACACAGATTGAGATGTGTGCACTTAAGGGTGGCTCTAAATTATATTCTTTACTCTGACAAAAACATACATCAACAAAACTCTTTGGTCTAGCAGCTGTCAAGTGTTCAATTTCCCACAGCCTAATACGGCTCCTGCCTACCAGCCGTGTCACGGGAACTCATCACGTGCACACTCTTTGGCCAAAAAACAAAGTGGTAAAAGATTAAACTGCTTTCATAATAAAAAGTAATCACACTTACTCTAGCTGAAGTTTTACTTTCTAGCAAATAGGAAAAGCAGAGCTAGGCTGTCAGAAGGTTGCTTAACATCAAGGATTTGAATTTTACTATTTTCTTACATGACCATTTTAGATACTTAGATCTGGATTATTCCTCTGCAAGTTCTGTATCTTTCTGGTATGAAAGATGTTTGCAAAAAGTTATTTAATGAGCTTTATGTCTGGTCAAGAATACTATGTTTTCTTAGGTAAAAGAATAGCACTTAACTGTCATGAGTTTACCTTGAAGAATTTAATGACTAAAGCGGGATTTCCTTCGCTGTTTTGAAAAGGCAGTAGCATATTTAAACTGTTCAGAAAAAGCCTTTAAGGAATTTTCTCATTCAGAGAGTAAAATGTAATCTACCAATTTTGATGACAATGTAGCAGAGGCACATTTAAACAAGCCTGCTAATACTTTAATAGCACCCTTGTATTTATAAAAGAAAGTGTCATTTGCATGCTTCAGAATATACATATTCTTACAGAATCATAGAATCAACCAGGTTGGAAAAGACCTTTAAGATCATCAAGCCCAACCATTACCCCAGGACTGCCAAGGCTACCACTAAACCATGTCACTGAGGGCCTCATCACAGTTTTTGAACACCCCAGTGACAGTGATTCAACCACCTTCCTGGGAAGCAGGATCCAAATCTCTGTTGGTTTGTACACAGAAGCTAGATGCCTAGACTCAAGCTAATGAAGTTCCACTACAGTTCTTCCATGGGATAATATATACCAGCTCTATTACTATCCTTTCAAGTAAAACAGTACAGAACAAAATAGAAACTTTCATATTTAGCCTTTAAAATTTAAATACAGACTACTGCCAGATTCTTGGTTTGTCAAATCCCTCCCAGTTTTGCAAACCCAGCTCATATCTCAGATGAATTAATGGTTCTGATGGTTGACCTTTGATGACAGACAATACAAGATGAGCTATTGACTAAGGTGATTAGATCGCTGTGATGTCTAAAACTTTTGAGTTAGATGGTCTTATAATAAATAAGACCGACACTTATACGAACTGGATGAAACTGTGGTCCATAGGTACAATAATCCCACCTTGGAAGTACAAGCAAAAAAGCTGACAGATGAACTGCAGGTGAAAGCAACACCCTCAAGTCTTCCACACACATACTTGCTTGAAATTGAGGACTCTCTAGAAGCAAACTTCTCATTCTTGGGTCTCATGCTTGTATGTAAATAATGGCAGCCTTCACATCAGGTTTACACAAGCAGTCATTTCTCTTAAGTAAAGAAGATCTGTCTATAATACAACCCTACTAAAACCAGCAATGGCTCTTTAGACAGGGAGAGATGCAAATGGTTAAAACAAAAATAAAATTAATGAACGCACATAGCACATTCTCCCTCCATAACAGCTAACAGCAGCAGCATGAAGTGTGAAGAAAATGCACTTTAACTGCATGAGAGCATACCACAGATGAAGCACAATACTGACTGCACAAGCAGAGCGCCTAAACCCAAACAGCAGATACTTCATGAATAATGGTCAAACTAAAGATTTACATGTTACAAACACAGAAGCAAGTAAAAAAGAATGGATTGAAAAGTACTGAATGATAAATCTATTGTAGACTCCCAGGCACCTGCATCACTTTTAGTGTTATGTTATGTTAGGAAGCTGGGGTATCAGCCGCTCAGAGTATTTCCTTTAGATACTGCCAACAGTAAGGGCCAGCAGCATTGTCATTTAGACAAGCATCTCATACTGTCCCAGCCTGTGCCTGCAGTACATGCAGCAAAGGTGGAAAAGACAGACATGAGTCTCAATTTCCAAATTCCCAGCTCCCAGAAGTTGGACAGAAATCAAGTAAATGAATAGCAAAATTGGTTAAAAGGAGTAGGCAGGATGAAAGCGGTGTGCCCACAGCCAGCTCTGGACCGAGAGCCTAGAAAAGGACATGAGTGACTTGTTTTCAATAAAATCCCAGCTTTCTAGATGTGTCCTGTACATCTAAGTTTTACCAATTTCATCCAGAACATCAAAAGCAATTGGATACTGTTCACACCATTACTAAAACACACTATTAGGCTGCCTTACACCAGTGGAACCCAACAGATGGAAATCCCAGCAGCAGAACTCAATAGTGCCCCTGTTTACCCATCTACCCCTTGGAAGAAACCTGTATTTCATTAGGGTGTGATTTTTAATGATTCTTAAGTGAAGACTAAAAAAATCAGCAGATGCTTCCTTTACATCAATGCAAGCATTTTAAAGACCCTGTAAAAGCTGCTAAAACAACCAAAGGAAAGCTCTGCAGTGGTGTACACCCAGTAGAAGTAAGTCAAGAACTCCCTTCAGCTTTCCAATAAACACACACAGCATAACCACAACAGGAGGAGTGCTACTGCATGAGATTGAGAGCCAGCTGTGCCTGGTTCACTCTCTGGAGAATGACAATTTCAAATCTCTCACTCCTTTCAGATTCAACTGTGCCACATAATCTGCTGAGCATCAAAAAAAAAAAAAAAACAAAACAAACCTTCAGGCAGATAAACTTTCAATCCATGGGAATTGGATATTACTTTTTTTGAGGTGGTATCCTTTAAGGGGTCCAAAGTAAAAAAGCTCGAGATTAAGTGGACTATACTCTTCCTTCCCCAAGAGATTATTGCTGCCAGTAAATCTCCACTGAGCAGACAGCAAAGGCAACCTTAAAGCATCACAGAACAGGGCCCCATAGGTGACCACGCAGGACCTCAGCATACTAAACACGCCTCACTGTGCTGCCTCTTGGAAAACAATGTACTACTTCAAGGTTTCCAGAATACAGAAGGAACACATTTCATGGATATCTGTGGTCATCATGGAAATCTAAAGAGCATCCACATGCAGAGGCTCTATTAGGTTGTTACTGCCTCAGAAGGGCCTGAGAAACTCCAGTAGATGGTTCCTGTATAAAGCCCAACTGCACACAGGGACCCACATTCTGTGTGCTTAATCTTCACACACAGCATTGGTCAAGCTGCAACTCCCAGTCACCCCTACAAAAACTACGTATCAATGGATGAGTAATGAGCAGGATCCAGGAATTACCCACTTCTAACTGCCTGATCTGTGCAATGGTTCAACACTGGCTGCACTCAAGCACATCAGACTCTGAAAAAGTCTATCGTATATTTAAGACCAAGGTGAGTGGGAGTCTCTTTAATGAAATGAACAAATGGAAAAATGAAAAATATGCCAAGGAAAGATAGGGACTGAAGCAACACAATAAGGAAGCATAAAATACTGTTAGCTACTATACTATAAATACAAATGAATAATGGTATAAAGACGACAGCTCAAAAGCTATCCTCCATCCAAGCCAATATTACCATTTTCAAGATCCAAAAGAGGCAGAATTTCTGCAACTGAGTAGTAAAGGCAACACAAGTGTCAGACTCTCCTGTTCCCATAACTGCCCAAAAGAACATGCTGTGGCCATCAACCCCAGGGAGGGGGGTGCATGAAGACACACAGCTGATTGATCTCTCAAAGCTCTCTCCTGCTCCCAAAGAACAAGGCACTGACTGTTCACAGGGAGCACAGCAGAGCAGTGAGATACAAATCACGCTTTCAAAAGAATACAAGGCTCCCATAATATACCTGAAAGCAGGCAACCCAAGAGTGAGGATTTTACACATAGCAATTTCCCTTTATATGCTCAAGACTGATCCAAATCAGACTACATAATGTGATGATCAGTTTAAGCATGTGTGATGGTACTATGCATCATTTTTTGTTTCCCCCTAAAAAAAAAAAAATCAATTCTCTTCTGCAGCGTGATAGCAGGACAATTACCTCTAATATCTGGGAGGCACTTTACATTTTAAAGGCAATGAACAGAAAAGCACGATGTGTTAATACAGAGGCCAATAAAATAGATCAGAAATGAGAAGAACACTGAATTTGGAAAAAATAAATCACAATGAACATGCAACTATTTCAATGAATCATAACCACATACGCACTCAGGTGCTTTAAATTCATTTCAATGTACTCGGAGTATTAATAAGATACTTCTCTACTGAAAACATATTCTAAATAGAAAGGTAGCTTAAATGTAAAATACAACTTCCAAGGCAACAGTTAAAAATTTAATAGTTAAAAATTTATAGCCCCCAACAGTAGGGCTATAATTTCAATCAATTTCAACCTACTAGTGAATTCTTTGGAGTTATAAAATAATTTAGTAACAGTATTAAAGTGTTGTTTTTCTACATCAGCTTCAAACTCCATTTAAAAATGAAACCAGTATTTACTTATTCTTCAGACAGCACACTGAACACCTTTTCACCTCATTCAGATACACAAAAGTTTATATATAATGATGCTTACTTACTCACCTGACTTAAAAAGAGTCTGCTGATAAATTTGAAAATAAAAACTATTATAGAATATTTACATAACAGTCACTGAAACAAGAATATTGGGAGCAGAGCAATTAAAGCATAAGTCTAAAATGCCATCTAACAGTGGCTCCAAATATTAAGGATGACAGAAGCAAGGAATTTAAGCTGCAAAATTTCTAAAATAATCCAAGAAGGTGCTTTTTGCCCTTCATTCCAACTGACTGTAAAGACTGCTTAATTCATTTTAAGACTAAGCTGTTGATGTCAAATGAGGTATTTTTGCTGCAATGGTTATTCATGACAACTGTTTTTACTGCCTGATCTAATAACATCACTCATGTTGAGCTTCAAACAGAAGACATCTTATGACATCTTTAGGCTTACTTTGAAACTACAGCTCAACCTGGAAAATTAAAATTACTCTCCTACAAACCACAATGACATTAACTTGCCAGCTGAAAAACTCAGAAGAATAACAGTAACACATAAACAGTTTCCTAGTCAAGAGGAAAGTTCCTCCTTCAAGAACGCCTGCCAGTACGCCACTGCAGTGGCTATTCTTACCTAGTCCTATTCTGCTGGGACTCGTCTCTCGACTGCATCCCTGGCTCCGAGGGATCTTGCTGCGCTTCTCTGAAGATGATGGCACTGGCTGGACTCTGGATGTTCCACCACTCAGGCCACCATAGGCGCTTCCTAAGAGCTTACCCGGGGAACTGGACCGGCTACCAGCTAGAAGAGAACCACAAATAAGTTAAAAAACAACAACCAAACAAAAACCATAAAAAACTCCCTCAAGATTAAATATCATGACAGCAAAATTGGAACACAATCGGCTCTAAGAATTTGATCCAAATCACTCAGAGAACTAATGTGAGTGCTCCCCATGGGCTTTCAAAGAAGACTGAGGAAAGCTCATGGACAATAAACACTAGCATCAGCAACCCTGCCTATATGAACCATGATGCCCATGTGGGTTCAAGACCAAAGCAGACACTGCAATGTATGAATACCCCAGCTGACTTTGGGCAAGCTTGCGGAGCTGCCAGAAACAGCCTTGCAACATGGAATTCACAGTCTGCTTCACCTCCTTGGGAAGCAACACAAATTAGCCCATGTGGAGAGCTGTACTGCAGCATGCTGGCTTCTAGCACAGGTAATAATTTGCTGCAGTGTAGCTCAGGCACCTTCATGCTACACTGCAGTGGTGGCATTACTTTCTTACAACAGAAGCAGAACAGCACAATAAGGGGTAAACCACATGAGCACATCACATTTGTGGAGATGCTGGCTTACTCAGGTCTGACTGGTCAAACCTAAGCTATTTAGTTATTTTTCAGCTGGAGAAAATGTTTAGCAAGTTGAGTAGTTGGTCTGTTTTATTTTTCCTTGTCTGTTTGAACAGTCCACAGCAAGTTCACATTTCTTCTAAGCCACACTGTCTGCAAGACAATCTACTAAGATTTTTATTTATGTTTTTACATTCCAGATGCAGTAAGTATTTCTATCTGAAACAGTCTTGCTGTCTAACTCAATGAGCTGAAGAGTACTCTTTTTTTTTTTTTTTACCTGTGGATTTTCATTTGACAAGTTGTTAAAAAAGGAAGTAACGGCAGCTTAAAGTTAGTCATAAAGAACTGCAAGTAATAGATTCAAGAATCTCTTTTCTTCTTGATGTATATACACATCACTGAAAATTTGCTGCTGATACTACTATTCCTGATATTTGATTTGCTTGCTAAAACAGCCAGAAGAAGTGTATTTGAAAAGGTTGCAAGAACACTTTTGGGAAAAAACATTTGAACATTTACATTCTGACCCAATATTCATGTTGGGTTTTTCATAAAAAGTATCTACACATGTTAAAAAAATTTCAGTTCCAGATACTATTACACCCAGCAAGAGTTAAATATTGTTCTTCTGTCTTAATTTAAGAAGATATGCAATTCTACTGATCTCATGGACAACACCATAACATATGCATTATTTTTACTTACTTGCCCCTTCTAATTTCTTGGCCAAAGCCATTCTAGGTCAATCAAATCACATATTTCAGTACTGTATGTGGTGCGGGCTTTGCTCCCATATCCCTCCCCTAGAGTGAGAATATTTGTGACAGATGCCAGTCTCACACAAAGCATCCACAACCTAAAGCCAAAACTCTTCTCAGTTATGCTGAGCAATCTCACTCAACAGGTTTGTACCAGAAGGTCAGCAGGGTTGCACTGAAGTATCTGGAAGAAAACACAGTACCTAGGGTTTCAGCTGCAGCAGTGAGCCAGCTTCAATATGCTAAATGTATGCTTGCCATGTTTGATTACTAAAAGAAAGCAAAAATCACTTGCCATACGCATTTGGATTTATCACTTTAAGAAAGTGCTTTTTAAGTCTCATTGTTAGGAGAGAGTGAGGGAAACAAGCTAAAAGCTTAGCAGTTAAAAAATGTGAAGGAAATAAAGTGAGAAAGCAAGAAAGGGAAAATGTTTCTTACCACCAGCAGGATTAGCTGATCTGGATCCTTGATTATGAGGGCAGACCAAAGGACAGGCAAAAAGTGGATTAAAAGACAGCAAGACAATACAGTGTTCAGCATGCCATTTATGCTACACACAATACAGACAGATTTATTTACAAACATGTCACTCCTAAAGCCTCTGCAGAATTCAGTGAGTTAATGTGCAGATGCAACTAAGAATTTCCCAAGGTTGATCAACTTTTCTTAGCTAAATGTTAACCAACACACCGAGACCCAAGTTCTGCTCTAATTTACACACCTGCCCAGTCTGCAGAATTGCAACAGGGTTATCCACTGTGTGGGCAAGGAGAATTTGGTCCTGTGTCCGTAGCATATTTGAATTCATAAATTATTTCAAGCAATGTCTAGCTTAAGGATAGAGATCACATCTCATTCGGCTAGGCTGGAAAGAGGATTCAGCAAGCAAGACTAAGGCAGCTGGTTCAGATATGACCATCCTAAATCTTCAGAAGTCATTCTGTAAGAGCAATTAAGCCCATAGTCTTCGAAACCTTTGGATACTCAACTATTCTTTAAATACTTCTGAGACTTGTCTCATTTGGTTTGATCACTTTTCACCAAGCTAATTTCAGGAAAAAAGGTCATTTCTGGCTTTAGATCAGTTTTAGGTTCCAAAGCCTAAATTCCTTTATGAGTATACCAAAGCCACAATTCCTTTATGACTTCAATGTAAAGATTTCCATTTGGCCCCATCCTGAATACACTACTTCCTTCTTCAGCTCTCCCAGCCTAACACAAGGCTATAAACTGCTTTACCATCCCTCCAGCATGACAGAGCAAAGCAATGAGAGAATGAACAGAAAAGGGCTTTTAAATAAGGGTACAAAGCAAGACAAGTCCTCAGAACAAATAGGTCTTTCTACAAACCTCATCTCCTCTTACCCACAAGCTTGAAGGTCCTCAAAACATGAGTGGCTTTCTCCCTCTCCCCAATTCCTTTTAAATCTCAAGTGACAAACTTCTTCTTAGATACACATGGCAAATAAGCAGCAGCACCCTATGTATGGCCCCTAAGGGAAAACCAAGCCTCTGCCAGGAAGCCAGAGAGCACAGATGTCATGTGCATCAGAGAGCAGAACGACCTCTCCTGTATCTACTCATAATAGGTGATGTCCTATTTCAAATTGATGCCAAATCCCATTAACTTTAGACAGCTCACATGTTACACGTACAGCAATACAGTCACATAAGCAGGAGAAGCTCGGCAGGGCAAGAACCCAGGACAGCAGTCAGACACAGAGGGTGTCTCAGTGGGACCCAGTGCAAGTTTAATCCTACGCATCACAGCAACATGAAATTCTGGTGGTAAAACACATGGAAAAAAAAAAAAAAAAGGCAGCAACTAAGCACTATTTGGGGCCCTATTTGTCAGCAAGAGCACAAACTGAGTAGGGATTCATTTTGTCACATGTTCAAATGTCATTAGCAGAATTGAGCCCCATCAACAGCTGATGCTACTATAATTCAATATATTAATAATTATTTGTTCTGCTCCCCCAGAAATAAAACACTCCTTACGCTGGGACTGGGAAACTACTTTAGCCCGGCTGCGGCCTCGGGTATCAGCAGGCATTGAGGTGACGCTTGTGGCACTGCCAGAGCTCTGTCTCCTTGTACGAATCCGACCTGGAGGAATGCAAAGACAAAGGGTTAACAGGTTTCATCCAAAGGCAGCAGCTGTGTCTAATGTGCTGCCCTATGCTTGCAGGGTTGCTATACACACAATTAACAAGAGTACAAAAGAATTTTACAGGGAGAGGTGACATCTTTTATTAGACTGGCTGAGACACAAGGGAGGGCGTGGAAAGAGTTATGGTCCATGACTCCAAAGACTTCTTTGCTTTCTGTAATGCTATCAGCCAGTTTAATTAAAAAACATTACCTCTCTATACCCTTTGCTTCTGTTCTATAGTAGCTTCTTTACAAAGGATCGGCAACAAAAATTTCAGCCTCCTAAATGCTGCTTCCTATATCAAATTATTACTTTCTCGCAAGGTGATCACTCTTGCAGAGACAGGTGTGACAGATGCCCCCACAAATTCCATTGCTGGCATTTCCAATTAGCAGTTTGATGCTCTGTATCCTGCTCTACATGCACAGGCTGACATGTGCTCCCGTGAGAGTCTGTCAGTGCAGGCTGACTACGCTTTTATTTCAGGCTCACTGAATTCTCCCTGCTGTTTACAGATCCCTCGTATTTATCCCAAGATCAGTGTAACTTTACGTGTAACAGAGAGTCCCATTTAACACAATCAACATTGTGGAAAAATGATTCTGTGTGTCTCCTCTTTATTTAAGCAGAGAACGGATATAAAGCCTCAAAGTGTTCTTGGTCCTTTTTCTGTCCTTTCCTCATAAAAAAAGCCACAGAAATTTGAGCTAGAAAAGCTTACAGGGTCATCAGTTCATCCCCTTCCTGGGGCAGGGCTGTTTCCTACAAAATGTTCTATCCAGTGCTAAGCTTCTATTATCTGTCTCTAGTTAATGGGAAAGAAATGATAATTAAGAGCAACACAAAGAAAGCCTCCAGTACTTTTCAACAGCTTAGTTCTCAGCCAAATCTGAAGCTGTTTCTCAGGACTCATGCCAGTGCTATCCTGCATTCAGAGAATGACTTCAAGTTTCAGGCACAATAATAAAAGGAAAAAAAACACAACAGGTAAGAGAAGAGTCTAGACAACTGCGCCCACTGGTTACAGATATTCATCTCCTGCCCTCTGTCTCTACCATAAGCATACAGAGAAATACGAAGATATATACTCCCCCCAACCCCCCAAAAAATAATTATTTCACATAAGGTACACATGCAGGACAAGACAATGGCAAGCAGCCCAGGCTGAACAGATTAAGAGCTCTGTTCTTCTCCGAGCTCTCAAAATATTCATAACATGGTCTGCAAGTTTTTGATAAGACACAAAGTGACAAAGAGATGTTTAACTTTGAGAAGAAAGCTTAAACTTGTTTGCAGGGAAAAAAGCCTAGCAGACTTCAAACCTCTCCATCAGCATCTAATTTTAAAGTAACTCAGTATGTAAGATGCAGATATCCACATTCAAACAATGTTTGCAAACAAGGTATGGCAGAAATCATTAATGTCAAACTGGGAAAACACAGACAAACCATTTTTTAATGGCTGGCTCAACTAAACAAGCTCTGAGCATGTCCACACAGGAATAACAGTCATGAAACTGGCTGCTAAGATGGTCTTACCACCAGTAAGGCTGTAGATCTCCTCTGCTCTATGACATTACTTGCCTCTTACAGTCTGCCTGACAGATAACCAGACATAACTCTAGGGCTCTCTGCTGGCTCATTCCCTTCCCTCTCAGGTCTGGCACATGTACAGCTATACACAGATGACTGGAGGCACTGGGCGTCTTGCCGCAAGTCTTATACCGCAAGCCCTACCATAGGGTTCAAAGCAGGCATACATAGGGAAGGAGGCAGAAGGACCTCATGCTCTTGTCAGAAGCCTCGAGGCTTCCTTTTGTTTCCCACACCAAGAGGGTATCTCTGGTGGCAGGAGTACAAAACAGTAAGTTAGGAAGTTAAACCTGACCAGTCTTAGGAACCAGTAATGGAATTAACTTACATCCCTCCAGAATGTCAACAGGAAGCCTTGGCATTGCAGAAAGTCCCAGTGGTAAATCAAGCTGAAATTTAACATTACACACAGTAACTGACAGTATTAGAAGACAAGAGTACGGGCCAAGAATGGGTGAGAAGGGGCTGATAATGTCTCCTCCTCCCCTGCACAGGCCACAAGATCCTCAAAACTTTCTCGTTTTTCTGCATCTACAACCGGAACAATATGCAATAAGTGACTCCTTCACCCTAGAAAATACAAAGCCCAAAGAAATATGAACAGAAGCCAAGATTAACTTCTAATATCAATTCAGGGGACTTTAAGAAAGAACACTGAACTAAAGGGTCAAACTTAATTAACATGAATATCAGCAGGATTAGAAACAGAGAGCTCAGCCTTATTTCAAAACCCCTGAGAGTTAGCGGACAGACCCCTACCAACTTCAGCAGCTTCCGAATAAATGAATACCCAGGAACAAAATTCTGCTTTCTTTTGGACTGGTAGATTCACACACTGATTTGGGCCTAATAGGTGTTAAGAGAGAACAGTACGAGACAAAAAGTTGCTCTTGCACAGGACAAACAGAGTCCCAACACTGATACTGGTTTTCTCATCCTTCGAAAAAGGCTGACAAGGGTTTGAACTCACACTGCACTGGACATGCATCACGCAAGTAACAGGAACAGCAGAAACCAGAAATTCATGATGCAAGAATGACATAATTGTACAAATCCTGCAATTGCACAGGAACAGCTCACCCCAAGAGTACTTTATTTTTTAGTCTATGGGATAAAGTACAAATTCAAGGTCAAAGTTTTAACACAGTTACAAGCAAAAAAGTACCATCAGTTGTATGGATTCCTTGAAGCATGAATTGTTAATGCATTTTCCAAAGTTTTATTTTCTGAACTTTATAAGCTATTTATTTCTTCATACAGGTAATTAATCTTACTTGCAGCAAACAAATAGTTCAAAGTAAGTCACTTGAACCTACTCTTCAAGCAAAAAAAAAGTTAAGATGCCGAGCTTTCCCCACCCAAATAAGAGTTTCTAGCTGTAAAACAAAAAAAATATCCAGCTGGAATTCAAAATTGCTTTAGGCAAATCTGTATGAGATAGAAAATCTTTAGAGCAATCTCGGGTGTTACTAGTGGTGAGGCACTGAAATGGGCTGCCCAAGGAAGCTGTGAATGCTCCATCCCTGGCAGTGTTCAAGGCCAGGTTGGACAGAGTCTTAGGTGGCATGGTTTAGTGTGAGGTGTCCCTGCCTATATAAGGGGGGTTGGAACTAGATGATCTTAAGGTCCCTTCCAACCCTAACTATTCTATGATTCTACACGTAAACTTAGCTTCACATACACAACTTTCAGATTAGTATGATATCCAAAACCTATTTGCTTTATCATAATGCAAGACGAATCAGGATTTGTCTGGCTTGAAAAATATCAGTATTTTAATATATATTATGCCAAGTACAGCATGTATATATAGAAGTTCATCTATATAATAAAGTGTCTCTAGTATATTCCCTGAAGAATTTCACCTGCAAACAAGACTGCATTCACATCCAAGAGTTATTTGCACACAGGACTACTTGTGTGTCTTTATCATTTTACCTCAGACAGAAAAACTAGTTGCAATCAGGATTGGAAATAACATACCAAATAAATTACTGAGAGTTTCTGTTGTTGTTAAAATCAAGGAAACATCAAAACTTCTTTGCTTTCAAGTGGGTTTATTTCTATATCTAGCTCAAACTGCACATGTAACAATTCATATTTCATAACCATTATTTTTCTGCTGCTTTTAAAAGGATTACTGCATCCTGACAACAGCAGCAAAAGAACAGACAAAGACCGTCCCAACTGTCCCCAAAAAACACAAAAGTATTTCCATAAAAAAAGCCACTGATCTAAATTCAACATGTGACACATCACTGTTGGTACATGGAATATCTTGAAAGGCTCCATGCTTCGTGTTAAGAAACCATTTGTGGAGGGTGGGTTTAGGAGGTTTTGGTTTTATTTTTTAAAGTTACTTTAATTTACATTTTCACAACAATCAATGGATCAGAGTCAACCTTGAAATGTCTAACATCTGCCTAAGCCTAGGAAGGTTGTTTTGGTCTTCTTTTTTAAAAAAAAAGGAAAAAGTGAAGGAAGAGTGGTATGTTAATGTTTCCATGTTACAAGAGGCTTCATCTGGCAGCACTGTTCTGAGCAACCCTGGGTGGGTACTGCAGTGTCTTCATCCCCAGTGCCCAGAACAGACATTGGCTTTATGAGACACAGCCTGTATATCACACTGAAGAAAATTGTTTTCATATAGTCTAAAAATTGTATATAACAGCTCCACAACTCAGTATAACTCATTCCATGCGGTAAACAGTGATATATATAACCATACAAGTTATATATATAACCACTGGGACAGTAATGGTCTCACTATGGACCAGGTTAACGCATTTAGGTTACTCAGCACTGGATTATTTCCCCCACTTAGAGAAAAACATTGTTAAGAGTCTCTAGGACCCCCCCCAGCTGTGTCACTGCTAAATGACACATGGACATCTGACACACACACACACACACACATACACACACATCAATGAAAAACATGCTTTAAGAATAAATAGAAACTATTCCAGTACTGGAGTAGTTTCTATGCTTATTTAGCATGTGTCCAACATCATACTAGCATAACACCTGACTCTGCACCATAATTTCCTCTGAGAAGCAGTCAACCCTCACTGGAAACCATCAGGGTATGCCGTTTCTGGGTTTTGCATGAGAACTCCCTCCAAAGCAGAGGGATGAGGGAACAGTGCCACCACCTTGCCTTACACCAACATGCACAGGCAAATCAAGTCAGTACTTTCAAAAGGATGGACCAAGGGAACAAAGAAGCCCTCTACTTGAGCGTTTCCATTTGAGGTACAACATTCAGTCATACCTTTGAATCCAGCCTTGCCCCTTAAGGGCAAGGGAGAGCTTTAAGGCAGAAAAGAAAACAGGAATTTCTTACAATCTGTGTTACTCCCAAGCCTTTGGTAAGGTGCTCAAGATGCCCAACTGAGCAGATCATCTTTTTGAGCTGAAGTTATCTGAAAACTATAATAAACCAGATTTTATTTCCTTTCTGATAAATAATAAAAATGATCAAAAAAAATTGTGCCACTGACTCTGAAAACTGCTGATTTTGGTTTAAACTTGCCAGTTTCATGACAGACCAGCATTTCCCTCTTAGGAAAGGCTTGTCTTTATACCCACTTTGAGAAAAGGTAACCAGATAACAGAAAGGCTCTGGACCATTATTATGTAATGAAAATCAGCATTATGCACCTTTCAAAAATATTCCTTGAAAAGCCATTTCATGATAAAACAAGCAGAAGCTTTTCTAAGGTTTCCTTTTAATCAGGCATAAAAAACATAGCACAGCTGCTACCTGCATAGTACTAGCTGTGAAGTCTTGACTAGACTATGAAGATTTGGAACTTACAAGCTTTCTACCTGCAAAGCTCTTAATGAAGTTCAAGGGATTCCCATACATCTGGACAATCAAGACATAATGGTGCATTATATGAAGATACAGCCTCACAGCAGAGAGACAGCAGAAGACCCACACAGATTTAAGAGATATACAGATTCACAGAAGGAAACTCATTTCAACAGCATTATGTCAATTGGGATGACGCTGCTTAAAAATCAAAGGACTGATACTCAGCTCTTGAATTCTGGCCACTGGCATAACCCACTCTACTTTGCTCCTGGTTGTAGAAGCCTGGCTCAAAAACAAAACACTGAGGAGAACTGAGGGCAAAGCAGATGGGAACTGCCAAGTTCACACAATGCTGGCTCCCGGATGAGGGGAAGGTGCAGAACTTTTACACTGTAGCTACAAAAAGCCATGATGGGAACCAGACTGCAGATTTAACATCAGGCTGAACCAGACAAAAACCCACAGGGATTTGCTCTCAAATGACTTACTGGTGACCTGAAAAAACATAAAAATAAAAATACAGGGACACAAATGTGGATGGAATTTCTGGTTTTCTGGTTTATGTTCCAACAGCGTCTCTTGCTCACGCAGGTATTTCCAGAGCAAGGGGATGTTTTTTCTCTTCCCCTGCCCTCTTATTTTTTACATTTATATCAAGAAAGAAGTTTTGCCTTCCTTGTAACTGACAAACTCTGCAAGATGAGACACTTGGCAGAAGACCTTTCTCAGCTCTCATCTGTAGGACACACTGAATCTTGAACAAAAGCTGTTTTTCCCACAACTGTCTCAAAGGAAAACAAAGATGAAGAGTTTCATCCAGTGATTAAACTCATCCTTCACATGCTCTAGCTGTGGTGTGCCATGTTGTTGTAACTCTCCCTGATCTTCAGTCTTCCAAAAAATAGAAAATCCTACAGGAAAAAGAAGAGATGAGATCTGGTACTTCACACTAAGGGGATGGAGAATTCCATTTCTGAAAATTCGTCTCACAATCTTTGCCTTCAAGTGACTTGTGTTTCAGTTCACAGAATAGTTGAGGCTGGAAGGGACCACTGGAGGTCATCTAGTCCAACCTCCCTGTTCAAGCAGGGTCTCCTTGAGCACATTATTCCGGATTGTGTCCAAATGGCTCCTGAATATCTCCAGAGCAGGAGACTCCACAACTTCTGTGGACAATCTATTCCAATTCTCAGTCACCCTCACAGTAAAGTTCTTCCTCATGTTCAGGCAGAACTTCCTGTGCTTTAGTTTATGCCTGTTTCCTCCTACCCTATCACCTGGCACCACCAAGAGGAGCCTGGTCCCATCCTCTTGACACCTACCTTTCAGATACTTACATACATTGATCAGATTCCCCCTGAGCCTTCTCTTTGCCAAACAGGCCCAGCTCCCTCAGCATTTGCTCCTAAGAGAGATGCACCAGACCCCGAGTCATTCTAGTAGCCCTTCCCTGACTTGTTTTATGAGCTCCATGTCTCCATTGTACTGGGGAGCCTGGAACTGGACACAGTATTCCAGGTGAGGCCTCACCAAGGCTGAGTAGAGACTCCTTGACTTGCTGGCCACACTCTTCCTAATGCAGCCTATTGGCCTTCTTGGCCACGGGGGCACACTGCTAGCTCATGGACAACTTGCTGTCCACCAGACACCCAGGATCCCCAGGTCCCTCTATGCAGAGCTACCTTCCAGCAGATCAGCCCTCAGCCTGTACTGATGCAAGGGGTGACTCCTCCACAGGTGCAGAACCCTGCACTTGTCTGTTGAATTTCAACAGGTTCCTCTCTGCCCATCTCTCCAGCCTGTCTAGATCCTTCTGAATGACAGGGCAGCACTCTGGGGTACCATCTGCTCCTCCCAGTTTTGTAGCGTCAGCAAACTTGCTGAGGGTACTCTCTATCCCTTAATCCAAGAATAAGTTAAACAAAACCCATGGCAGGGGGTTTGGAACTAGATGATCTTAAGGTCCTGTCCAACCCAAACTATTCTATGATTCTAATACTGGACCCAGTACTGACCCTCAGGGGACACCACTAGCTACAGTCTCCCACTAGACTCTGTGCCACTGATCATAACCCTAAGACCTGGGCTGCCATCTACTAAGACTCGTCTTGCCATCTACTCATCCAGCCTGCACTTCCTGAGCTTGCCTATGAAGACTTTATGAGAAACAGACAATGTCAAAAGCCTTTATGAAGTCCAAGTAGATTTTTACAGATTTTTACCAAATCTAATCTGCTTCCAATGTAGCTGAACTGAAAAAACAAAACAAACCCCCAAATCAAATAAAAATTCTCACCTTTCTGCATTATGACAATGAAGCATTTACTAAAAATAAATGTATCCCAGAGGACAACTGTTTTAAGAAGCCTCCACAGATATTATTATCCTAGGAGAGGATCGAAATGCATAAGGTATTTCATAAATTAACATTAAACGTCAATTAAATTTCAACAGATTAACATTTCAAAGTTAGGTCAAAAATAGAAAGGTTTGAGAACTGGGAAGAAAGGAAGAAAATAAAGAAGGGTCAGCAATGAATAAAAAAAAGCTCAGTATTGCAACAATTTGGAACTTTCATCTAATAAACTACTGATTTAGAAATACAGGTGTTTAGGCCAACTTCATATTCCTTATCACTGACATCACAAAACACAAACACTTGTCCATGATGCAAAGCCAGTGCATCTCTCAACACTATGTATCAGTTCCAAAAATGGTAGAGACCTTACCCTCTAGATAATAAATCAACGCCTCAATAATAGTAATGAAAAAACACATATCACAAAAGCACACAGTGGCCCTTCTCAGCTCACCACATCCAAATACAAGCAGCCATCAAGGATACAAGCATAGTCCCACAAGACAGTAATAGATCCCTTGAAAAGAGACTTGCATCAGGAAAAAAATGGGTTTGGAAGTATGGGGAGGTTCATTCTATCTAGGAGACAGTCTTGTTTTCAACTCCTGCCTACCTCAGAAAAACTGATTTCCCAGTGATCTTTTTCACTTGAGAAATAAGAAATAAAGAACAAGCTTTGACAAATGAGCCAGAAAAACAGACTGGGAGCCCACGCAAACTAGCAGGCTCCGCGTTCTTGGAAAAAAAAAAAGCCTTTCCTCTAACTGTCTTAGATGTAAGCCATCTCACTCAGCTGACAACAAAAAGAGCTCACGTTTAAAGAGGTTGACTAAATATTCCCTCCTTAGAGATCATTGTTTACTGTCCTCATTTTTCTGCCATGTGATCATGTCATTCAATTTTCTCACTGCCCAGTCTCTTCCCGAAAGCATTTGGCAGTTGTGACCTGAGCTTTGGATGGAAAAACACAGCAACCCTTTACACATCACGGAGCAAGAAAACACAAGCCCTGGGTTGGGTTGGTTGTTTTTTTGTGTGTTTTGTTTTCTTTTTTAATCTGTGCACAGGTCACCTTCAACCAAAAGCAGTCCTTTAAATACAAAAACCCACATACAACTTTGTTATCAAAAGCCAAGTCACAAAAGCAGACTGGTGCCTGTTACCAGGGAGGAGCTCAAAGAGAAAGTGAAGAATACCCCATGGCATCAAAATGAGCAGGACAACCATGCAACACTTCATGCAGGTCACCAGTGAACATGGATGAGAACCAGATAACACTTTGAGAACAGAGACCAGGTAGGGTGGTACAACTTTGGACACACCTCAGTTACACAGAGAGACTGCTTACCCTCAGTTTTAGTGGTAGTACCATCTTTAGGCAAATTTAGAAAAAAAAAAAACAAGGAAAGGGTTAATAAGGAAAATTAGTAACATCAACAGAAGTGGGCACTATGTATTAGCTACAGAAATATGAAAAAAAAAAAGATAACACAAAGAAATGAGAGAAGTTTGAGCAGCTTGATGTTTCTGAAGAAGATGCTTCCAGGTTTTCCCTCCTGCAGTAATTAGTCTTTGCCAAACTTCATTTTCGTTGTTTGCCTCTCCACTTCTCTCATGGGTACACACAAGTGAAAAGCGTCCCTACTAGCTCAAAGAGAAAGCAGGCTCCTCAGAAGTACCATATTTGCTTCAGTTAAAAATAATGCTGCTTTTCTCCTACAGTCTCTTTTAAGACCAAGACTAATGCTGTATTCAGTCCCCAGCTTCAAGGACCAAGCCAACATTAGTATATACTTCCCACCCTTTTCCATTCTTCTTCGTAAGATTGTTCAAAAGCAGTTTTGCCACTGGAGCCAGTACACAGCACTGACTGAAAAAGTTGCATCTGTAAGCTCAAAAGCATGCTATTATTGATCAACTTCATGTTCTGTATTACATTTTTACTGCAATGTATCTAAATCTTGAACCAAGAATGAATAATTTAAGTCAGAATAAGAATTCAACTGCTGAACCAAATGCAACCAACATATTTAAGCCAAGGTAAAACATTTTAGATATGAAAGAAACCTGTCCACAAAAGGAATCTATAGAAACCACCCCTATGTAATTCATCAAGCATATTTTATCAGACTAAAGATCAAATGCCCTACATTAAGGAGAAGACACTTCTCAACTCAGTGAAGACAATCTACACAGCTTAAATCAAGATCACCGATTTCTGATTTTTCTCCCTCTTGTAAAAGTAAATCAATGAAAACAGCTCTGTTGAGCTGATCATAACCAAGTTGAAGCTCTGCAAGTATGGTGTCTATCACCGCCTTGCATTTCCTCCTCCATGCTTCCTTCAATGGCATCTCAAAGAGAGAAAGATCAAACGCAAAATTTGTTGTAAGAAACCCTGAGGCACCTGAAAGTGATATGCAATGCTCTGACAGAATAATGTGACATGTGGCTATAGGCCAGAAAGAGTCAGCATAAGAAACAGATACCCTGCATAATGAAATTAGAAGGCAGATGACTTCTTCTTTGTTTTTACATCTCTCTTTTGTAAAATAGAAAGCAGTCAAACTCAACTAAGATGTACTATTCAAAAGATAAAACAGTTAATAGAAAACCAGGTTCAGGAAAGGAGGGAAGGAAGATAAGGAAAAGAGACAGAGGGACATGTCAAAAGGAACTGAGCAGTCCTCAACGTCTCAGAATCATAGTAAGATCTGCTTTTCCCCAGAAGAAATGAGAAGGAAGGAAGGATGAGACACAGACTATTATACAATTCAAAACCTAAGAAGTTGCTTCAAGTCAGTTCTGTTGCAAATTTTTTCCTTAATCCCAAAGGGCAAGAGATCACACACTGATCCTACAGAGCTGGTAACTATCTCAGGGATACGTTCTTCTAGTTAAGAGTTCAATATTCAAATAAAACTATGAGGCACTTTCTACTAGCAAAGAAAGCTAACTGCAAGAGTAGAACACGTAGATTTACCTAGTGATGCGTATGAGCCTGGGGGCAAGGCTGCAGCAGAACTGAAGGGGGTGGATGATCCAGAAGACGTCACTTTTGACTTGGCACTAGCTGCTGCATTCACATCGACGTCACTGCGGGATCGCTGCAGAGATCCTGGTGTTGACACAGATTTTGTACTTACTGTAGATGCTGCAGATGGGAGTGGGAGATCCAGAATAAAGAAGATTAATTTTTTTATCTGTGTGCTTCAAAGAGCCTGGCAAGCAGTTTAATGTACCATTTTTAATGTTCCCTGCTGGTACTGAAATACCTAAGAATGCTTTATCAGGGCAATGTAGGCCTCCCCACACTGCCTGCAAAGATATTTCAATGCTAACCTGATGCTACCTCTAAGAACTTTATCAGCCACTAGCCTAAATGCTGAGATCAAAAAGGCTGCCAGGCCAGTAATAAAGAAATTTCTAACAGAACCTAGATGTGAAAGTTCAGTGACAGTACCCATCACCAGCTTGGGAGTTGCTGGCCAAAACAGACCTGCAAGTCCTTCAGTCCAGGTCCTACTAATTTCCTTTCCAACACCTCATCTTCTCCTGAGGACTGCTGTTCCCATCATTTGCAGATGCTTACCTTCTTAAGCATGAAGCTTGATTATTCAGCTGTAAGCAAACATGCATTTGTATGCACAATCAAGTAGGTAACACAACAATAACTCCTTGAATCAAAGGTCTCAGAGTGTACTGCATACACAAGCCAGCCAGAACCCGATCTTAGTCTGGTGTAGAAGGCAGGTTATCTTTTACCAAGAAAGTTTTGTCTATTATATTTTGTATTAAAATTTATTACTTATTGTATGTATTTACTTAGAACAGGAAAGCTGCACAGAAATATTCCATCCAACAATAAGAACAGATTAGCGAAAAGACTGAATTTAACACTGTAGGACTTGTGTGCAGATGATGCCTCCAGAAAACGCTGAAAGCACAGAGAATAAATGACAGTACATTGAAAAGCTGAACAGATTATTAGACTATGTATGTTTTAGCATCAGCGGTGGTTTATTGCACAGCTAAACGTATCTTGGCTGCAGTTTCCAAGGCTTTTTAGCCTTCCTTTCAGGTGCAAGCAAAAACGGTTATCCTAACTTTCAAAAGCATTATATCAGCAGCTGATGCACAGAATGTGGTGTACAACCCAAAATTAATTAAAAATTTCACATACTTAGTTGCCATTTTGAGAAGTAAGCAGTGATCAAAGTTGCTCTTTGCACATCATAGTGTCTGAAATTCTCATTCTAATTCATCACATTTCATCAGCAACACTGAACATGGTTTTCAGCTCCTGTTCTCACCTCTGGATGTAGTACTTCCAGTAGGACTTCTTTTGGCAGACAAAGGACGGCTAGAAGATAAATAAATATTTATTAAAACAAAACCAGTATTTCACAGTCATCAGTAACTGTGTTATTTATTTACTCAGTAAACACACTGAGCTGATAGGAAGTTATTTATATACTGGAATAGACTAACAAAATTTATTGTTTAAGAGTAAATATGATACCACCATGAAATTATTTACAAAAGCACTAAGAACAGAATTAGTATGCACATTATTTGACTAAGAGAAGATTTTAAGAACACTGTCTGTATATTTTAAAAGTTACATCAATAAGTGATAGATGTTTTTCATATAGGTCTTATACTTAAATTGCAGACATTGGAGTCCCAAGTTGACTGTATCTCTAAGGCGAGCTAAAATACATACATTCAATAGAAGCATTACACAGAATTGCAGTTACAACTCTAGTTTAGTTTAAGTCTTATTTTTTTTCTCTCTCTCTTATGTGGAAAGAGGCAGATTTACACCTCAAGGATTGATGCTAAACACAAATTTTTAATCCAAGCATTGTTTTAAGTGCACCTGGAATTATTTACAGAATCAATATACTGATTTATTATTTTTTTAAGCCAATAATAGGTTTTGCTGGCTTTTGATTTTAATGCAATGTTAGCTAAAAGAAAAAAAAAATAAAAATCTGGAGTAACAAGTGTTGAGGCCAAATGATAACCAGATGAGACATAGCAATGTGATAGCTCCCTCCAATTCAATGGAGCTATCCATAGTTGTTTAAATTCAGAGGTAATAACACCAAAAGACTTACTTGAGACTCTCCTGGGAGCTGGAGGAAGAGCGATCTGACTGTGGCAAGGACACGATGCTGTCAGAGTTCTTCAAATGTGACTGCAGAGCCTTCTGGTAGGAAGACTCCAAGGTGTGATACAAATGCTCTGCCTCTCGGCTGAAGTGACTGTGGAAACCCCAATAACACCTGGAAACAAGGCACAATACAGTGAGTATTTCCCTGTCATGTTTTAGGGGGCAGCAGAACACGGGCAGAGTCAGAACCCTTTTCACTACTGCCATTATTGGCTCCTTATACTAGTCATTTTAACCATCTACCGCCCCTACGACACACTTAGTATCACTTTCTTTGACCCATTCTAACAGGCACACAGAAGACAAACCACATGAAAACAGGAAGAGAGGAATGCACCATTAGGTGTGTTGTAAAAACACAAGTACCCAATAAACCTTTATTACAGAAGCAACTCTCATCCCTTCGGCTATCATACATGTGAGATGGTAGACCTACTAGACTAATACTAGTTTGGGATGGATGCTCAATAGCTACTTCAAAAACATGCCAAAAGTGGAACACACATACATGGGCCTGATTCAGGAAAACACCAGTGGGTGTTGTTTGCTTCCTTAAGTTTAACAAACAGCTCTCCCACAATTTTGCAGAGACAAATCTGTACTGAGTTGAGGCTATTGAGTGCCTTTTTGGGAAAAAACAACAAGGAAAAGGAAAGAGATGTTCCTATAGACTTCCAATCAGTGTCATGCTGAAAATAAAAGAGCATTTTAAAATGAGGGAAGAATTCTTCTCTGGTCCAAAACTCCTGGCTCATGGTTAAACACCATTCATTCTCATCATAAAGGAGACGAAGACTCTCAGCACTTTTCAGGGGGCAATTAATGGGCAGTTTAAGAGTAAGACTGTTAAATGAATCAAGAATTGTCCTCAGTGCCTCACGAATCACATGCATTCTGATATCACTAGAAGGCAACAAATTTCTGTCTTACAATCACCCACACTGCTAATTAAGAAACATGTGAAGAGAGAAATAAGCAAGTTTTCTGAAGTCTCATGCCATTCCCCTAGTGGTCTGTTCAGCTTAACTAGTCACCTGCTGTGAAGTCTCAGTGCCTACTGTATTTTTCAGTGATGGACACATTATCTTTCAAAAGGGTTTTAAACAGTCCTGCTGTGAAACACCTCTGCTTATAATACAGCGTTTAGATTGATAAAATCTCTTGTTCATTGATTTAATGTTTCACAGCATTCTCTTTCTTAAGAAAAAAAATTTCTGTAGCTTTCTGTCCAGGAGAGCATGATCCTAGTATATCAGCATACTAATATAAGCGCAATCACATAATGGAAATTTAAGAGATATTATTATTGCAGTGTAATAAAATATTTCCTTAATTTAAGATACCAGTTAGGAATGTACTAGGACAAGGGCTCTAATTTCAAGAGTAGCAAATAACAATAGAATAGAATATTTCAGCTGGAAGTGACCTAGAACAATCATCTAGTTCAGCTGCCTGACCAACTCAGGACTGACCAAAAGTTAAAGCATGCTGTTAAGGGCATCCAAATGGCTCTTACACACTGACAGGCCTGGGGCATCAACCGCCTCTCCATGAAGCTTGCTCCAGGGTTTAAGCTTGTTAAAGAAATGCTTCAAAATATCCAGTGTAAAAGCTCCCCGGCACAGCTTTGAACTATTCCCTCTCATCCTACCACTGGATACTAGAGTCAAGATCAGCACCTCCCTCTTCCACCTTTCATCCTCAGGAAGCTGTAGAGAGCCTCCTTTTCTCCAAACTAGAGAAGCCAAAAGTCCTTAGCTGCTCCTCACAGGACACTGCTTCCAGCCTTTTCACCAGCCTTGTTGCCCTCCTCTGGACACAATTCAAGGACTTCCACATCCTTCTTCAATTGTGGGGCCCAGAACTGCACATAGTATTAAAGATAAAGCCACACCAATGCTGAATACAGATGGATAATTGCGTCTCTTGACTGGCTGGTTATGCTGTGTTTAATATACCCAAGGATGCAGTTTGCCCTCTTGATTGCCAGGGCACACTGCAATCAGCACTGGACTGTCAACCAGCACCCCCAGATTCCTTTTTGCAGGGCTACTCTCCAACCACTCCTCTTCCAGTTTATACTTGTGCCAAGCATCACTTCATCCTAGGTCTTGCACACAGGTCAAAAAGAGAAAAAATATCAGAAATAATAATATTTTTGTACTAAACAGGAGCAATCTCAGTTAACTGCAAGCAGCTCAAATGTCAAAAAGACAGATAAGGTTACAAGTTCTCTATTCTAGACTCTTAGTTACACGCTCAGACATAAAATGGCAATAAAACATTACAAGAACAAAGTGAAACCAGTGAAACATTATTAGAAGATGCAATACATATATAACACAGCTCCATGTGATCAACCTCATATGACAACTCCTGCTGAAGTACGCAGTCTCATTGAAGTACACACTCCCACTGAAGCCAAGGCAAAGTTGGCATCAACTGCCAGGAGAGAATCTAACTTGTCTGGACTTCAATCTCCAACATGCAATAACACTGACAACACAACAGGGGCAAAGAAGGGGAGGAAGACAAGACACCAACAACAGCATCCACTTACTTTCTTGCCTCTATCCTGGCTTCAGAGTCTGCATCATGAATTCCCTTCTTTATTGTTTCAGCTAACACTGATATGTGTCTGAAATAAGGAAAACATTATCCAGCAGTACAAAAAGATGCACCATATAAACAAATGAGTAATTTGATTTTGCCTTGGTTGTGAACAGCAGTTCATCACATCTACCCATTTCCTTTGGAGCCTTTGTTTATTTACTTGGTCTTACAAACCAGTTTTCTCTCACCCACACTGCTGACTAGGAAAACTCAAGCAGCATTCTTCAGAGGTCAGTCTTTAGTTAGCCACAGAAACTGCCTGGGTGCAAAACCACTCTTTTAAACATTCAATAGTCTTGTGCATTCTAGGGCTAAGGAAATTGTGTCCCAGTCTCTTTTCCCCCAATTACTTTAATTTTTCATTAGTCTGAAGTACTGTAGGAGCCTCAGAACCTCCCAACAGATGTGCTGTAGCCTTCACTTCATCATCTCACTTTAGGGTGAAAGGCGAAAAAAAAAACAACAAAAAAAAAAACCAAAACAAACCAAACAAACAAACAAAAAAACCACACACATAAAAAAAATAATCTGTTGAGTTGAGAGATTCACTCAGCCAGGTTTTACAAAGCTGGCATAGGAGATAGACTCATTGAACTCTGACTGCCAGAACAAATACTGTGTGTGCACATATGTACATGCTTTTTTGTGGCAAAAAATCTCTACAAAACCTACCTGATATAATCTCACCTCCTAGATTATCCTTTCTCCAGAATTAACCCCCAGACATATGCAAGAAATCATTAACCCATTTGTTTTCAGAGCTTACCTTTCTAGGGAGTGTGTTTGCCACTCCTGCAACAGCAAATCTAAAAATTCAAAACAGCGCCTGAGAGAAGAAAGAGAAGAAATGCTGAGCTCTCAGAGTTAACAGAGACACACTGACTGCCATGCCTGCCTTTGAACAACAGCTGTTTTTTGTTACGAAGTTTTTTAGGACATTAGAATTTGGTAATGACCCTGATAACAAACATCAAATGCCACCAATAGAGTCTGAAATAGTAACTGGAGTCAGCTCAACTCTGGATAGAGGGATTCATAGAACACAATCCAGAAAACCTCTTTTTTCATTAAATGGGATACAGGCCCAAAATATTCATGCTTTCTATGCTTCGTCCCTGTTAAGACTTCACACAGAAACTTCACATTTAGCTTCATGTGGAGACAGATCTTTTCATATTTAATCTCCCTTCCTCATTTCAGGAAACAAAAGCAGAAGTCCACTGTTATTTCTTCAAGGTTTGTGACCAAATTCAGCAATCACAAAGCATTTTTTGGCTAAGTGGAAGAGAACTAGCTAATCTACATGGACTGGGCAAGAGTCTCACAGTGAGGGAGTGGACTGAAATACACTCAGATTTTAAGTGCAGAGGAGACCATTAACACATCCAGTTCAAATTCAGATGATGCCATCACAGAACACTACTTCTACTGACTGGCTCAAAGAAAACATTTAACTGTAACTGCTAGTAATAGAGAACAGGGACATGTCTATAAAAAAGCCAAAATAATACAACGTTATAATGACAAAGTTCAGTTTAAATTAAAAAAATAAAAATATCTGTGGAAAAATGACTTCTCTGCAGTACTGAGACTTATACAAGACAGCTGACTTTGAATTTGATCCCAATTCATGGGGGAGAGCGAGATGTATGCTTCAGGTGTGCATATCAACCCTTTTCATGAATAAAAACAAATACATAAATGTTACCAGAAAGTACATGTGAACCTATTTACCAGTAAAACAAAAGTAAATTCAAACTTAAGGCTTACCTTCTAACTGCAACAGACTTGGAGGTACAATTACTGGTTATGATGGGTATTAATCGAGGGATGTGTGTATGCTAGAACAAAAAGCAACCAGGGAAAAAACTTTACACAACAGTTCCATGGAACAAAAATCTATCTCTTTCAGTGACCTGACCCAGCATGCAGATACTGTTCAATTCTTAAAAAAGGAACTGCTAAGTAAAGGAACACTTAAGATACAGGAAGATATTTTGATTATTTGTCAAATACCTTCAATATTTTATTTTTTTGTATGATGACAGGCTGCAGTGAATCAAGGAGCTGAAGTCACACAGTAGGATCTAAACTGTCAGTGGTGACAACTTGAAAGCTATCAGGCTATCTACAGCTTCCCCAATGAATCATTAAACAGAAGTTACTTCTGTGACCTAATGGTTTCAGGAAACATGCAGTGTCTGTGAGGAGTTTTAGAGCATAATTAAGAGGATGAGTGTGTCCTGCAAGGCAGGTTTAAAGCCCATTCAAAGAAAAAAGTTTGCTCAGCTCTTAGGGGGATGCAAATATCATACTCTGCAAAGAAATATTCTTCATACTATTATGGCAGGGTTTAACTATCATCATCTACACAAAGCTGCATGACATCTGAGACAGCCAAACCCAGCACAAGCAGATAAGTAGATTAGGCACTTATTCTAATTTTTATTGCATCAACATTCATATTTCCTCAAACTCCACAGTATTTGGAAATAACATTGTTCTTTTTTGATGTATACTTACTCGAATGATTAATCTAACTGCTACAACACCAGAAGTGGCCATGACTTTGGCACTATTCGGAATTAGATTAAAAATTGTTGGCATGATGGCTTCTGCCCCATGGTCAAACTTGTTTCCCAAAACTGATGATAAATGTCTGAAAAACAGAATGAAGTCATGCTGGTAAGTCATGCTGAGGATTAAGTGAGTTCTACAGAAATCTGACATAAGCACATCTGACATCTCAGTCTTCATAACGGTCATCTCCTCTCCAACTCTGAAGGGGAGAACACACCACGTCTGAAAAAAAAGTTTCTTCACTTTCCCTTCAAATGTCTATACTATACCCATCTGAACTCTGAGAAACAGTAAGTTCAGCATAAAATAATGTAACTAGCACGGCTAAAAGTTTATTATCAAATGGGATCATGCTGAAAGAATGTATTTTTCTCAACTTGTTTATATTACAGTTCCTCTGAATCTGCCTATTTTGCTTAAGGATACATAAATTTAAAAAAAAAAACTGTAAAAAACACTGTGGCACCCTTCTTCTTGAAGCATTTCACAAAGGATAAACTATCAAACCTAAGCAGCTCAGCCCAAGACAGAACAAAACAGGCATTTTCAACCTTATTGTTCAGTCCTTCCCTACTCAGTGCATGAACGCCTGGCTTGCTCATTCTTTCAGCATGCTTCAACTCAGCATCATTTAAAACTCAGGAACAAAGTTTGACAGAACTACAATTAGTGGCCTACATGGATGCGGTATTAAACAGCTGTAGCAAAAGCATGTTCTACCTATAACCATGTAGACTAGCTCCCCACGTTACATCCTAAATGTGTTTTAACCAGTGCCTGTTCCTTTTTGATACATCACAGTTCAAGTGTATTTAGAAAGTAAACTCACCCCAACGTGATACAAGCCTCTCGTACTACTTGAGACCGCAGGTCTTTAGCAGATAATTTAAATGCTCCGTCCAGAAGTCTTAAGTGTTGGAAGAAGTTATCATATTCTGCAGCTCCAGCCAAAAGTAAGGAGCGTATCTTTTTCAACTGTTAGCACCATAAAAGAAAGCAGTGACTTTTAATGAGCAATAAATACAAGATCAGTTATGTTCAGGGCTGATACTTGGTTTCCAGGATCCTTGTACAATTGTTTTTAAAGTCCAAGCAATTCTATTATTTCAGATCTTATATTCAACTCATAGGTTAAGGTACAAAGTATGATAATGTAAACAACCAGCTATTACAGAAATCCATAACTGTCGTATATAGCTGCTCAAACTGATAGTTAATAACCCAACCATTACTTTTTAAGCCAAAATATATCTTAAAGGTTCTCCTCTACTTCCCTTAGAAACCAACTATTTACAGCAGCTTCTAAAGCTTAGGTCCTCTTACAGTTGACTATTGTATTAAAAAGATTACTAGACTTAAAGGGCATGGTTCATATTCAGATTTGAGTAATACTGACATATCTAGAAGATGCTCACTGACTTCATTAAATTTATTATCTGATTGTATTAGAAGTGGAACCCTGACCCCATCAAAATGGGAAATTTTCTAGTAATATTACAGGGACCACCATATCATCCTATACACATTCTTCTGGACACCTTCACAGGCCCTCATGTATGTTGATGCATCTGTACAGTGCCTCCATTTAAGCTCACTGTTACAAAGAACAAAAAAAAAAAAAAAGACAAAATAAAACAACCTGAAGTAAGCTGAATCAGCACAATTTGCCACTCAGATCCGTAATACAGAATTTGACAGACATGTCAAAGTTGTTACACCAGTGATGAAAGTTTTTGGTGTAGACAAGATCACGCATCTATATATATCATGACAACAGAGCTCACCTCAGTAAATAAAACACAGTCTTGGCATGCATACAACAGATCTGATTTTCCACTTCCACATTTCCCACAGTCATATTTATTTATTCAAAACTTAAGTGTGTAAATTCTTTCTGAATTATTTTACACCTTCTTTTGCAAAAGTATAAATTATCTCTCTATAAGCAAAGTGATTTTCTGCCTCATCAGGAAGTTTAAAGATAGTCTAAATATAACTTCTGACATTCTGACATAGCAAATTTATAGTTCTACATTTGGATTTGCTGTCTGACTTCCACTTCAACCTGATCCTATCTCAACAGATTCTCATATACCAAAACAGCATTTTCCTTCATATATATAAGGTTTAAATCCAGTCTCATAAGGAAACATTTACCCCAAGCGTGGGGTAACATTAACAGATGTTCACCACTTAAACTATGTTCTAGACATACTCTGGTTTTCCCAGTACCCTCTTCACAGAATTAAGCTCAGTGCAGAAAAATCTTATATTAATAGAGTTCACACATGAAGTTCACTACTTACTGCAGAAACTCTCTGTTCCCAGTCATGCTTATCATCTGATAGTATCTCTCTTATTTTGTTTATGGATTCCTCAAGATCACGGCTGGAATAAATCTGCAAATTTAAATACAGAGTAGCACCATAATGCAAGATTCACTCCAAAAAAATCAGATCACTTCACAACTACGTTCTTAGGCCTTTTGTGCCTCCCTGCTTAAGTATCATGTGCTAACCTTGCAATCAAAAATTACTAAATGACAAGATGATTAAAGGATCGTATTTTATTATTTCACCATATTTCCACAATTTTAAACAGCATTCCTGCAGCTACTAGTGGCTGTGTTAGTAAAGACCTACAGAAGATCACGAGTGGATACATGTGCTGTTCAGCTGTCCCCCATAAATAAAGTTCTGGTGAAAGAGAGGAGATACGTGACATGGCTCTGCTAAATCCATTGCCTTCAGTTGTCACGCTCACAACAGCAGCAATCCTGGAAACACAGGTCACCTTTATTGCCTTCAGTTCCCAGATGGTACAGATGAAACGTAGAGAGGCTTCTGTTGACTTAAGTTTTTGTTTGACCAGCCTGCACTGTGCAGCACACACCCACTTCCAGCCCCATATGTACTTCTGTCATACCTCTTATCACAACCTTTCCACTCCCATTCCCACTTCTGAGGGTTTCACACAAACTACTGGCAGATACCACCATTTAAAGCTTACCTCCCTCCAACTTCTAACTTGCCTTCCCCTTAAAGAAGATTTGCCAACATCACAATGAAGCACAATTTGTCAATGATTAAGACTAGAACCTGTATATATCTTCAGCTTTTTAGTACTGTGTGTTTTAACATGTAATTCTACTTACCTGAACTGTTGGGACATCTTCAAATGCTTTAATAAAGTCTTCTTCATCCACAGCACCTGCTCCCTCTTTGGCTGCTGACATACAAATGAAAATGCTTTTTCTATCTTTTTAACAATAGAATCAATTAAGAAACCATCAGCTATCAAGGCACTTATTAACGAGAAAGTTCATTATCCATGCAGGCCTCAGAGTGCTGCAGATGTAATGAAAGCAGAGACAGGGAAATTCAATGCCAGGCACACACTAGACAATCACAGCATCCTTCAAGTCCTAGGCACAGAGGGCACATTAGGGAAGTCATTACAGTAGTCACTCAACAGGGGACACAGCATGAAAGATAAAAGGGAATATTTACTTTAATTATACAGAAGATTTTATTTTAAAGAATTTAATCTTATCTATAATAGATGAAGGTGCAGATCTGACAGGTGCACAAACAGACAAATGATAAGGAAGATAAACAGTCTCTGGAATATTAATCAGATTGGAGACTACCTGATACAGAGAACTTTCCCCATTTCTCTAGGTCACATGTAGAATTATAAACACATATGGAATTATTGCTGACATTCAGAATTACCGCTCAGTTTTCTTTCTGCACCTTCATTATGAGCAATGCCCAAAGGTCTTAGAAGAAAGCCAATTTTAGATTAGACTAGAAAGACTAATTTTAGATTGCATGGGCTGAAGTTTAGCATGCAATCATAAACAGCCTCAGTTCAGCTGAAGAGTGCAGCTACAAAGGCAAAAATCTACACACGGCAACATCAACGTGATTTACTCATAGCCCTCAGTGCCCTACTGCACAGGTCCAACTTTACAGGAATGAAAAGCACATTATAGGGATGTGGAGACTGCTTGGAGATTCATCTTACCAAAATTCAACCATAGCATGCAGACAACATACATGATGATTTCACAGAGAAGAATTTGTTACTGGATCCTGGGGGCCAGTCTGGAAGTCCCTGCATAAGCTCAAGCATGAGCACTATAAATACTTCATATACAGGTCAATTTATATATGCTATCAGCTTACTTGAGGACTTGGAGCCCAGAGCTGCAGACCCAAGTCTGCGGGTAGTCCCCATCCCAACTCTGCGTGAGTTTGCAGGGGCCTTTGAAGATGTAGAGGAGCTAGCTGAGGAAGGTCTGTTCCCATCCATGGAGTCTTCATCATCGAAAATTTTATCTGCCAAAAAACGCACACTCAGCTGTAAATTTGATGAAGCAAAGAGGCATCCCAAAAAACATGCCCATGCAACAGCAAACCCGCTGCATGTTCAGATCTGCTCTGACACTAGAAATGGTTATTCATAAATGACCCCAGGCCACTGAACCCAATCCTTGCTACTGAAGCCACTGTATAAGCTTTTTTAATGAGTACATTAGATAAAAAGAATAAAATTCAAATCCACAGCAGAAAGATGCAAGCCGCAGATAATACTTGGGGTGTGTACAGTCTGTATCTCTGATGTTTATGTCTGAGAGCTATTTTGCCATGGGCTGTAGCAAAACCAAGACCATGATCAAAGCCAAAATCCAAGATCAATGTTTGGAGGAATCAGACAGCACAGGCTGCCCTGTCACACCCTGATAACAGCCTGCACCATACTGAAAATACAGGATAACCCACAAAAAATGCATGGCAACACCCATGCTTTTGATAAACTACAGACCATTTATCACAGAACATATCCAGAGCTATAAATCCACTCTATTCTTTTAAATGATCATCAGAGATTCTTTACACGTAAATAAAGTTACCTCAAATTCATAAAAACAAATACAAGGTGTATTAAAACTTACTGAACCTTCTGTGTACATCCAAAGTGAACTGTGGCCTCTAGCTCTAAACATGAACGTAAATTATCTTAAAATGAATTACAGTCACTTTGATTCTTAGTGAAGGTCACATCAATTCCAAAGGAGTGCTTATATTGCAGTTTTACACAGATTAGCTAATCCACTTTAGAAACCAGCCCTAGGTTGAAAGGTGACAATGTGTTTGGACAGATGGTATAGATGGTGCGCATTTATTGAGGCCAGAAAGCCACCTCAGTCCCCATCACTTAGCTTCTCCACACTAATGTTCATTCAAGATTTGAGACCTGCTTCATGTCCATCCCTCCCCAACAGTCCAACGTATGCACCCACTCTCCACCAGTTCAGGAACATTTCCTTTGCAAAATTTCTCTTGGTAAAAACTCAAACCAGGTGCTTTAACCCATCCCTATTCAGGAAAGCAGCACCTGGGAACATCTAGTAACAAATAAAGGCTCCTAGTTAGACACTAATTAATGATTTTCAATACAGGTCAAGTTTTCCAAAAGGAAGAAATAAACTGGTAACAGTATAGACATATCCTAGGGAAGGCAAAAGAACAGCAAGCAAAGCCTGTGTTGCCCTCAGCCCAATAGTCTTAAGGAGTTTTCCTTGCCTAAAGTGGTATTGGCTTATTAGCAGCTGGACACAGGAAAACCATCACAACATCTAAAAACCTGAACACCACATTTCTAATGTGCACCCCTGCACATAATGCCAACAATCCAATCACAGCACAGAAATGGTGTGTAGACAGCAGCATACAACACTTTAAGAAAGGAGGACAAGGATCTCTCTCCCCTTAATTTTAATGTTCAGGAAATCTTAGAATATGGGAAAGGGCTAGGAAAAAAAGATAAAAGTAACATCACAAGGAAAGGGATATTATAATAACAGGTGATTTGGGACTGTTCAAAAGTGAACAGGACAAAAGTGAACATATGAACTTTAACATCAAAGAATTTAAGGTCACACAGCTGAGAACATAAGCCACAATTAGGAGTGGGCTCTCTTTAACACAGTGCTGTAGTAGACCTAGGTCAGCCACGGAGAACATGCAACCTCCCTACTGACGCTGGTCCTGTTCTGACACATGTAATTCAAAAATAATTCGAAAAGAGTTCATGAGAATGATTAAAGGATTGGGAAATACATTTGTAATTCAATTAAATGAAAATTCACTGCAGGAGGCTGTTTAGCCTGACCAGATTCTTTACAAGTTGCTTGATTATATTCTGTGTTAATGCAGCAACTCAAGATTTATTACCGTTTTCTAGTGTGATTTATTAATATTGTTTCTCACCTAATAGAAAAATATACAACAAGGCCACGAACTGGAGCTTAAAAACAAATTAAATTCTGAATTACCTTAGTTTTTTCCTCCCCTTCTCCCCTTCATTTTTTGCAATAATCACAGGACTGACTGTCTGCAAGGCTAGGAGGTATGTTACCCCGCAACTCCTACCACTGCCAGTTCTTTACAAGTAAGACTGATTTGTTTGCTTTTTGTTGTTGTTGATCCCCTCAAAGATAGAGTTTAGTTCAAACAACAATTACTTCAAAATATTATTTGGCGAGAATTGCATAGAAGGTCATGGCAGATCAATATAAACTTTAAAACATACAACCTTTGAAGCCTCTAGGAAGTGATGCAGAAAGACTTGCACAGACTTTGAATACAAAAACTTCTTGGTAAAATTTGCCCCAACCGCATTTATTTCAAAAGCTCCTATACAGATACTAAGCAAATGATTGTCACATATATATATTTTACCAGTCAAGAGAAGGTCAATCATATTCAAAACAAAGATGCTTTTCTACTTCAAAACTACTTTCATCTGGTAATTAAAGTCTCCATCAGCTGCTTTTCAAGCTATCTAGTCTTAGTCAATTTGCTTCCTCTTGGTATTTGCATTTTTAAAGCCTCACCCCTCTGAAAGAAGAGGGTGTGGTTTGCTATTTCATAGATTTTAAAAATTATAAAAACAGGTATTAAAAGGATCACACCTCTGTAGCATTTTACTAATTAAACTTTTCATTTAAAACAAGCTTTTTTAAGCATTAGAATGAGAAAAAAAACCCACCAAACACCACTCAAAAAAAACCCAGCCAGCCCACAGTTCTGTGTATGTTTGAATTACAATCACATGTTCCTGTTCATTAAGTCCACAAACTAAGCATTACATATTTATCAAATCAGAATACCCCTTCAATAACCAAGCAGCATTTTCTCATCTGAGCAGTGCAGAATGACAGCGCCACATTCAGAACTGCACACCAAGTCTTCCAGCAGCACGTGTGCAGGACAGAAAGAGAAACAAAGAACAGAAAGAAACCTGAACATGGGAGTACAGAAAATAAGAGAAAAGCAAGCTACTACACATTATCATTAAAAAGACTTTTTTTCTCCCCATTCATTGTCTCCTGTTCACGATAATAATTTGAACTAGGATCATATTTTTTCTGCAAATCACGAGGTGGTAAATTCATCATGGGTGTAACTCTCAACTTCATCAGAGGTGCAGTGATGCAAAATCAGTGCCACGTTCTAACATTAAATTACCAGATGTTCTCCCATCCCAAGACATCCCCCCCCCAGTGCTCATTTATAAGGGCTATACCGTACTCTCTGTCAGAGACATGCCCTTATAAAAGAGGCCTTTGTCTGCTCACTGCTCTGCTGTCTCAGAGAAACAGAGAACACTATTTGCTTTACATTTCTCAATTTCTTTACATTATTTTAGAAGAAAATAAAATTGCTTACAAGTACATATCCTTCTGCAAATAAGCTTCCTCAACATTCCTTCATATTTTCCATAGCGTGCCCAGATGTAACAGTGCTTCACAGAGCGCTGCAGCTTTCAGTCCAGAACATAATCAATCTCTGCCCCTCGTATTCATTAAGCATGCTGCCTTCACACGTGGATTTAAACAGCTATGGCTTCAGCCCTCTCTCTCCAACAGTAGCTCTGCAGGATTCTCATCAACACCCATGTCAGCCCAGGAAACTTCAATTCACTTCTAGGAAGTAATTTCCCACTAGTGAAAGGAACCTGGGACAAATAATCCCGGATGAAGACGAGCTCAGTCTGCCTGGCTGAGCTGGCTTGCACTAGGAACCAGCCTGACTTTACCCCTGGGAAGCGATAACAGGAGCATCTCAACAGCTGTCATCATTTGTCCATGACGAATAAATTTAGTCATTATTCATTTTAAAACGTAACCCCTTCAGGTCTGGGCAAGGTGTAAAACAGGGAAAAGAGACCATACTGCTGTTCAGGAACCACAGTGAACATGGGCCAGCATTTCCCCTGCCTGAACTGTCAGCCTGGGACCTTTTAAAGCAAAGTAACCGGATCTCGTATTTCCTGTCCAATGAAAGGAGATGCTTTCTGGCTTTTAAAAAAAATTGACGTCAGATTCGTATCTTTTAGCTATTTGTCTGTAAGCTTTAGAGAAAACAAATAGTCAGTAGTGACTACAGACTGGGAAAAAAAAGTTATGATCCTGCTTGTCCCTAATGAAGATGCCCTGCACTACGGTCTTCAGGTCCAACTCTGTAAGGTACTAAACTTGCTCTGGTCCTGCTGCGTCCACATGTCCCACCTCTAAGTGTCAGTGCAGCCGAAGTATGCAAGATGAATACTTGCAAGTATCAGCTACATCTCTTTCAGGAGTATCTCCCTTTTGGGTGTAAAAGGTGGATGGCATCAGAGGAACATGCCTTCCCACCGACCACATGGTGCCCTGCACCAGGAGTAGACACACAACTGCTAAAGCTAACATACATTTCACCCTGTTGAAGCCCCATGCTTAACCCCTACTAGGTGGTCAAAGCCAAACTCCCTGAAGATCCGAGAGCTGCTGTAAAAGCCGAGAACACACACTGGCAAACCCACCAATGCCAAAGTAAACAGGGTACATTACTGCTTAGTCCTTTATGCCAGGCATGACTCCATATGCATTGATCAATGTTCTGGAGACAGACACCCCCATGACAATTCACCTTATGCCTTTCCCCAGGGCCAGCATCTGGCATCCCCCTCTCCAGCTGTCCCAAGGAGACAAGGCACAGTTCACTCCTCTCTGTGGGTGTCCCAGCAGCCTCCAAGCAAGTCCGCTTCAGCTGAGGTTATGTGTTTCTTTCCATTAGCACACACCTAACCCACGCACGGCTTAGCTGCAAGGCTGCCTACCTAACAGGTATTGTGTAGGTTTCTCCAGGAAAATAAGGTTATGAACCCACTAAAGGGGCATATATATACTCCTCTGCAGGATTACATGTTTAAAACCAAAGGAGTCACAGCCACAAGAAGTAGTACACAGCATGTCATTAGGGTTTCTTGCTCAATCATCTCCCACAGTTTC